ACTTATGATACTTTTTTTGTAATTATTTATTTTTTTAGTAATCTACTTATTCTGTTTATGTACGGATGCACATAAGTGAAAAAATTACTTCAGAAAAAGATAATTCTCTGATTCTAATATTTAACTTGAATTAAACATTAACAATTATATATTTTTAAATTATTTCGGTCAGTTACAAATACAAAGTAATCTGTAGGATTTTTACTTTGATAAATTCTTCTTAAAACAACACAAAAAACAAAAACGTGTCTCTGACAGGTTTTATTTTTAGATTGTTCACCAAGAATGAATGTTGAAGAATGCCATTGTAGGAATGACAGCAACAAAAGAAAATCAGTAAAAAAACTCATCTCTTTAGTAGTAAGAATATTTTGAATGTGCAATTGAAACATTGCTTCCTCTTAATCATTAGACTATCAGGTAAGTACAGGACCAAAGCCTCACCATTGCTTGGTAATGCTGCTCTGGTTTCTGCAGAATGTGGAGTTTTATGAGATAGACTTGATAGTTGCATGCCCAATTGGTTTTCAATTCAGAGCACTCCTTCTTTTAACTTAATTTTCAACCAACAGCCCAATCTGCTCCTGCTATTTAATCCATAGCTGGGGGTTATTTGTGTGAAAATGAATACAATTTGACAAGAATTTGAACTCAGTCTGCTAACTTCACTTTCTGTGTCAATATCATCCACCATATGCTATTCAAACAGCCACTCAAACATTAATTCACTAATAATTCTTTCATTTTATATTCCTTGCCTATTATCAGTACTCTCAAACTGTCCTATATTTGTTAATGATCAGCAGGACTGGTGCAAGGCTTTCATGCACCTCCCCCCAAAATCTATGATATTGCCCCCCTCCCCACAACTCTACTAAATCTCGATTTTCATAAGGTATTATTCATATGATACAAATTTTATTCTAACCTAATTATGTAGCATCCTGGGTATGAAGATAAACTACATCCAACAGCAAGGCCTCTGATCAGGAGATTTTGAGGAGTGTGGAATCACCTCTTAATTGCTGGTGTTCCCAGGTCTACCCTGACCTGGGGTGGTAGCACCTGTTAGGGTCCCAGCTATGGCCAAATAGTTAACCCTGAAACTGTGGTAAAAAGCATTATAAAAGTGTAAAAATAGGTTTTAATACCAGAAATACTTTGTAAAAAATTATTACCAGAAATAAATTTTTGAAGAAAAAAAAACTATTACCAGCAATATATTTTTGGAAAAAAAAAAACTATTACCAGCAATAATAAAAAACTGTTACCAGCAATATATTTTTGAAAAAAAAAATATTACCAGCAATATGTTTTGAAAAAAAAAAAAAAAATTACCAGCAATACGTTTTTGAAACAAAAAAAAAAAAAATTTTACCAGCAAAACATGTTTTAAAATAATATTACCAACTATACATTTTTGAGGAAAAAAATATTACCAAAAATAGATTTTTGACAAAACAACATATTACCAGAAAAAAAAAATTGTCAGCATTAAATAACCCATTGAGATTGATATGCCATAAAACACAACAAACCAACCTAATTATGTACAATAATGGATCATATGCAATATAGGTGAACAATTCAACTAGAAAAATTGAAAATAAATACAATGTACCTAAATACAAATTAAAGACATGCCATCCTAAATAAATCAACAATGTTTTGTGGCAATTTTTAATATCAACTCATGATTCTTCTTATTAAAAAATTTAACACGTTCAATATTAGGCATAAAAAATAGTAAATTTTATATCTTGTGTTTTTTTAGACTTAGCATGAGCAAAATAAATTCACAGATTTGGAAGAGAAAAAAAGAGAGAATGACATCAAAATCCACAAAAATTTGTCATCTTTAATAGTCAGTTGTGCTTTGTTTAACTTATAATGTTTATAAATGTAGGTAGAAAAAAAGCAAATGTTGATAAGATAGCAAAGGTTACAAAGCACTACCCAGGGCACCCAAACAGACTTCCCCACACCCTGCTCTGGTCATGGGTAGTATGTGCTGGCTCTGATGATCAACACACATGCGAGGCTTATTCTCTATTTTCCAATTTGTTCTTTTAGCTTAATGTAAAACGTCTAAGAGTTGGGATGAAAAAGAATAAAAATAAAGGAAATATGAATCAAAAATTAATAATAGTGATTGTCTAGACATGGAACTAGAAAAATAATCTCAATATAAAATGGCAAAATCTTTTTAGCAATAAAAGATTTTTCAAATGCAAATGTATCCGTAAGAAAATGTCATGTGAGAAAAAAAATCCTCCAATAAACACATTTGCACCCGAAAACCTTTCCAATACTGATTGAATTATATTCACTTTCACACAAATTAACCTCCAGCTATGGGTTAAATAGCAAAAGACTAGTCTTTCTAGCCTTGATTGGGAGCCAGTTTAGGAGAAGGAGAGCTCTGAATTAAAAACCAATTGGGAATGAGTCTACCAATTCTACCCCATAAAACCCTACATTCTGCAGAAACCAGAGCAGCTTTACAGAGCATGGTGAGGCGCTGACCCTATACTCTCCTAACAGAGTCTAATGACCCTAAGGAGAAGCAATGTTTCAATTGCACATTCAAAATAATCTTACTACTAAGAGAAATGAGTTCAGTAAGAAAATGTCACATAAGAAAAAAATCCTCCAATACATGCAGATATTTATTTATTTATTTAACTGTAATCTTTGGAGACACTTAAGGTTAAATATGGTTGACCATGTGTAAAGTGAGAGGACACAAACCAAAATTTATGGAATTAAGTCAAAATAATCAAGCGTGAATAGCTTTGGAATATAAGAATGTTGAAGGAATATGCACATATATTATGCTCAGATACTTGATCAGCAAACCAAGCATAGACATTTATAGCTCAATGGAGCCATTAAGGATGAAATAAACAAGAAATGAGAGCATGTTCACAGCTCAGTGCAAGATGAGAAGATTAGAAAATAATTCCAAGAATGCACTCATGTGGATGAGGGGGGGGATGCACGTTGTAGCCACAGAATAAGATTTGACTATATTCCAAAAACACAACACACATCCAAGGAAAACTAGAGAGCACACAACAAAAACATTGTAAAAAAAAAAAAAAATAAATAAATGAAAATAATAAATGTAAAGAAATTAGCTGAAAACAAACCTACAATAATGAGATGTTTATTTCAGTGGAAAAAAAGAAATCCTAACAAAAGCAGGGACGGTGTATGAAGATAAATTTCTATACTGTGACTTATTTATATCCATTTAACTTCATTCACCTGAAATACCACATTGACTAAAAGAAAAAAAAAGCCACCCTATTTCACACATTTCTTCAAAATGTTCTAACAATGAATCTTTATATTGGAGTAATATTGATTTTCTGAAAGGAACAATAAAATTATTGGTAAATATTTGTTGATCTCGTTTTGCTTATAATGCCATCTGTGGACTATTTTTACCTGTTGTAGTACTTTTTGCTTATTTAGTTCTTCCTGCATCACAATGAATTTGATAAAAATCCAAAATAACAAAGGTGGTGAAAAAGTTCAGATCCAGTCTCACAAATCCAAAAGGTTGGAAAGACGAGTCATATAGAAATCAGAAATCAAAAGTCCAAGCGGCAAAAGTCCAAGTGGCAAAATAAAATAGGGTCAAAAATCCAACTCAAACATTCTAACACCATGAACTCACTCTTTCAGACAAAACAAAAATTACACTCCCCTCATCAGAAAAAAAAAAAAAGCAACAGCTTTCATTGAAGAGGTAAATTTTTCAGTTGGTCACAATCGCCGGGGAGATAAAAAAATTACCATATGTGAGGCTGTAATTATCTAGATTTTATTTCTTTTTTTTTCGGCAAACTGTACCCAGGGGTCAAACTCTTTTTTAGGGGTAGGTGATTTTCTTGTTTGTCACACACAAGCCTGTTGCCATTCTATTCCTATTTATATATTAGATGAGCTTCATTGTTTAGTTCCACCAGTTCAGACCTTTAAAACTTGAATACTCCATGTCACATCTATAGAGTCGAATCACCCTCATTTCCTCCATATTCCAAATGCAAGAAGAAAGTTCATCACAGACAGTTTATTTCCCCAAGGACTGCCACTGTGTGAAACAGACTCCCACATGGATGCCTCTTTGAATACTACAATCTTAACCTCTTCAAGTCAATCATTATCTATCCTCCTTAGCCTCAGAAAGTCATGTTTATTATATTCACTTATGTTCAAATATGCTTAGCAATCATATTAATCTTTGAAATTTTATTTAATAATTATTTTTTATTCTATTTTATTTTTTTCTCAATAATAGTAGATATGTTTGCCTATAACCTGGTTCATGATCCTCCCCAGCCTTTTCAACAAGATTAACAGTTTCTCCCTTGTTCTCTGTTTAGAATTATGTTTCCAGTTCCTTCTAAAGTCTTTTCATTCTCTTTCACTCCCAGTAGCCCCTTGCATCTTAATGGCATTATTGCCTTGCTTGGGTTGAATTGATTAAAAGAAAAAAATCCTCCCCTCAACTATAGGTTAAATAGTAGGACTTGTATCTGGAAAAATTATTGTTATTCTCAAAAAAAAAAAAATTGTTAATGCAATATTCACTTGCAAAAATTTATTCTTAAAATCCAAAATATTTTTTAGCTTTAAATAACCCATGAAAAGTTGATAAACCATAAAAAAAAAAAAATCACTCAATCCTCATAATCTTCACTTCCCAACACCTCTTTCATTCATATCATACACATCATTCATCATTACCATTTTCACAGTAACCCTCTACCTTGGGTGGCTCTCAAACCTTTTATTGGATGAACTTCAGTATCAAGAAGAAACTAGGATGACATGACAAAGATATTAAGAGCTAGACTGAAATCAAAACCTGCATTAGACAAACATTTCACCTGAAGAAATAGAATATTTCAAATGTAGACTATTAAAACAATCCAATTTTCTTATATTTTCCATTTATTAATTTATACTTTTTTTCTTTTCCCTACCAGTGCTCCGTGATGATTTTAAAGTGAATCCTGAAGATACAATGGTTGCAGTTGGGGACACAGCAATTTTAAAATGTCAGCCCCCAAGAGGAGAACCAGAACCACGAGTCATCTGGAGAAAGGACGGCAGTAGACTAGCGACGAATAGCCGTATCACTTTAGAACAAGATGGAGATTTAATGATATCTTCTATTGAGAAAGTCGATGCTGGTGAATACACCTGTGTTGCTGTTAATAAAGCAGGTGAAAGTGAAAGTCAAACGGCAAAAGTAACCGTTTATGGTAAATATCCAGAAACAAGTTTTTGATTGTTGCTTTGCACTACATTATTAGCAGGTGACCCCTTCAGGGTTAGTTATCAGTTGGATCATTGAATGAAAACTTTCTAATATAATGTCACTTTTTGCCATTTCTGTTTGGCTCAAGTTCAACGTGAATGAATGTTCATCAGTTGATTGATGGTGGTCAAGCTTATCTGACATCTCAAGTCAAAGTAATTGAATGTAGAACACTGTAGAAAACTGATGCCACTGTTCAAGTAAAAGGTAGCTCATTGTTACAATATTAATCATATGCGAATACAGTCATACTGTGATGAAACCTTCCATTTACTTGGACCCTAACCAATGTTTTCCATCATACGTATAACTAAGAATGATTTGACTCACAGATCATGCACTAATGATAGTACATACTTGCCAACCATTTATACACTCTGGCTCTCATCCATAAAGAAGTGGCAAGAAGTGACACCATAGTAGCAAAAATAGTTTCCATCTGTTATCCAACAATATATTTGGTCAGACTGTATTCTGTTCTGTAACATTTATTCTTTATGAAAATATTCAAAATTTTCCAGACTGAATTTATTTCTAAATTTGACCAGTTTTAATGGAATTCAAATTCAATCTGATGGCTACTGAAACAATTCCTCCTTACCATATCAATATTCTGCTAGAATTATGTAGTTTCCATGGTTAAGTTATATTTAATCATTCATATCTGGTTTCAGTCATTTCCATGCAAGCCAAATGCAATATCTATATCATATTTAGCCAGCATGATTTGGCCAGACTGTCTCCAAAGAATTCAAGTTAATTCAGGTCATTTTGATGAAAATAATATATGACATATGAAATAGACTCAAACTGAAGAGAAGCTTCTTATTAGAATTGATGTTTAGTCCTTTCTTCTTGCTTTCTTTTACTACCTTCTTTAGGAGCTCTCCTGCAGTTTCCTGAGTCTGCTATCAATATATGTCATTCGTACATCTTACGTTAAGATTAATTTCTTAAACTATTCTTTTCAAACCACTTCTGCTCTAGTGTTAAGTAACCTATATATAAAATTGCTTGCTTAAAAACATACACATAAGGACTGGAATGAAGTTTTGTAAATATTTTTTAAGTAACAATGAATTAAATTGTCTCCTGTTAATTTTTATGCTTTCTTCTGATGTTATTAACATTACTTGATTTACAGAGAAGCCACGAATAACCATCCAACCAAAGGACAAAGTTGTGGAAAAAGGTAAAAATGTAGAATTAGAATGCCGAGCAAGAGGAGATCCAAAGCCTGTTATTACGTGGAGGAGGGAAAAAACTAACCTACCACCTGACAGGTAAACCAATCCAACTTTAAGTCTTTTTATTTTATGATCTCTTTAAAAACAAATGTATTTCTGCATTTACTTCTAATTAAAGTTTATAATCAAATATATAAATCTACACAATCTCCCAAATATATCCATTTGCATATTTAGAAAACTCTTCTTCAAGAGAGCCATGATCTCTTTATGGTCATGGCTCTCTACAACTTCCTACTTTTTATAGGTCTAAGGCTTGTCTTTTTCTCCTAATCTTTATCTCTTTTAATCCCTGTTCTGCCAACCATTTACACAGACTTGTTAGGTCAGTTATGCACTGCTTTCTTGTCCCTCTTGCCTTCAATATGTCATGTGAATGTCAAATTCTCCAAGCCCTCTTTCGTCATTATGTGCCCGAGAAATTTCAGTTGTCTCTTTCTAAGTATAAATATCCTTTTTCTTTCCATTTTCTCTAAAATTGCATTGTTGCTTACCTCTTTGGTCTATGTCATTCTCAACATCCTTCTGTAGAATCAAATCTCTGTTGCCTCAAGTCTTTTCATCATCTGTGATTTCCTGTCATTTTAACACATCACCAAAAACACACACAATTTGGTGAGGAATGTTTAGTAAAATAAGATTTAATTAATGCTTCATTCACACTAACCTATTTTACTTTTTTTATTTAATGTTATTTTGATTTGTAATCATAACTTAATCCTTTATAATCATATATATTTAATTCTGTGGTCATCTGGGAGTTAGTGTGTCAAATAGGGGTGTTTAGGTATTAGTCTAATCCTGATAATCCAAATATCAGTATATAAGGCACAAGGTGATTTTTGTAGGAATGTATATCACACACTCTTTCATAAAACACAAGAAATATTTAGTTACCTCAAAAATGTATAAACATTATTCCCTTTGATATAAGCATTTTTCATTTTCAAATATTGCATTTATAGATTTTAAATTTCTTTTTCAAGTGAAAACATTTTCCACCCAAATGGTTAACTCAAAATTGTGTCTTTTTAATATTATTGAGTAATATTGGAATATTTGACATATCATTTTTTATTTTTACTCATTTGACTTTGTCTTTTTCTTCATCTTATTGTTGCTTATTTCTCCCAACACTCTGAAGAAATACGGTCTACATTATCAAACAAAGCAAGAATGTGTCTCAAAAGAATGCACTTGTGGGTGGCTAACATTTGAATGAGAAATGTTTAGGCCATTTTGTCACAGTTTCAGCATCTATTTGCAGAATTTCCAGAAAATTCTAGCAATTAATTATGCTTCTTTGAATAATGATTATAAAAATATTCTTTAAATTTACTCTCATCTTTTATTAATCACTTGGGAATCAATGATGAGATTTACTTGTAAATAATTTCTATCTTCTTACTCTGGCAGGGAATTGGTTAAGAAGTCAAAACAATTTATAAACATTAATGAAGAAGCAGCTGACAAGATATTTCATAATTTTTTTTGGTGTTGGCTCTTCATAATTTGTCAATAAATCTGATTGATTCATGACAATTCATAGATACTGATAAAGGCAATGACTGTCCCAGAGCAGCTGACAGGATATTTTACAAGAAAACTTCTTTCTACTAGGTTTTCTTTGAATAGACAACTTGTATGTAGTGATGAAGACAGTGAATGATTGTCCTGGAGCAGCTGACAAGATATTTTGCCAATATGATGACATCACACAAAAATATTCTAATTCCAAAGTGTTATCTGTCTGTATCCACAGTGGATAAAGGTGTTAGTTAGATCCAGTGACAGGACCCAAAAAGTGTGAGCAATACTGGGTTAAGGCAGTGGAGAACTTTCAGAGGGGAATTAACAGGAGATAACTGACATCCATTAGACATGGCATGTGGAACTAGAACAGTCTACCCCAGTGAGCGAAATAAAGGGTTCAGTTCGACATTCCAACTACCTGAAGAAGGCCAGAGCGTACAACGGCCGAAACGTTGTGATAAACATGGTGACAAAGATGAGGACAATAGTCCGAATAATGTAAATATTGTCCAAAATGTTAATATATAAACAATTTCCTGATCATTCTTTTTATCCCTAGGCTCAAACTAAAAGTAAATTCTGATGACTAAAAAAAAACGTTTTTTAATTCCAGATCTCATGTGTTGGATAATGGTAATTTATTGATTGAAGAAGCCGAAGTGAGTGATGATGGTTTATATATATGTCAAGTCGAAAATTCAGTCGGAGTATCTGAAGCTGTTGCTAAGCTAACTGTACACGGTTTGTATTTAATATTCACTTGGTACCTTCTCGTTATTGTTTTATTTCTAGCCGAGGAAACATTAATGACATCTGATGCCATCCACTGTGTTTCAAATGTCTTCATAAACAAATATGGGTTTCTCTGACTTACAATGATATGCAGCAGTTTTTGTTCTATGCTGATATTCAAGCCAAAATTGCAAATCAGAATGCGGTGCCATCTCTACAGTTCTTTTAATGACAAGTATTTGAAACTGTATTTAATTAACCCATTAGCATATATTACCATATTTTATAGCATATAAACTCCTCCCCCATTTGCATTTAATATTACAACATTATGCCTTTAGGAAAGAAAGGTATGATTATTAGTAGTCTATAGCATCTGAGTAAGCATTAATCAACATTTATTTTATAGCTTTTGTATAGGGTTGTTGGTTAAATTTCAAATAGTTCTATCTAACAGCCATTAGAATAAGACAATAATATGAAAATAATTGACCTTGCTAACCATAATGCCCCAGTGATTAATATATATATATATATATATATATATATATATATATAGTGAAACTATTATCCAACCCACATGGATTAAAGATTTTGTTCAAATATGAAACATACTGTCACTATTCAATGTTGATTTCTGTGTCCATACTGCTTGTATTTACATATGCTCTATCCTGGATATTGGGTACTGTTACCCCATAAATATTGCATATATATATATATATATATATATATATATATATATATATATATATATATATAAAATATATATTAAAAAAAAAAGAAAGCCACAGATGTTTTTGGTTATAATGTAGATTTTTTTTAATACATATTATACTTTATTTTCCGTATTTTTTTTTTGCTACACAAGTTTCGGGTCTTGTGGTTCTCATCAGGTGATGAATGGTTATTTCTACATATTATTTAAAGGAATTCATTTTTTCTTATAATAATATATGGAAATAACCATTCTTTGTCTGATGAAGGTCACAAGATCCAAAACACGTGTAACAAAACATATGGAATATAAAGTATAATATATAAACCAAAAAATCCACATTATAACAAAAAATGTTTGTGGCTTTTCTTTTCTCTTTAAAATATACACTTTTCTCTCATTGGAACAACTATCAGCTGTCCCATATATATATATATATATATATATATATATATATATATTTTGGCTAATAGCAGTTTCCACTTGATCAGAATCCCCTGATAATCAAATTTTAATGTGAAACTCAAAAGTTATAATTATATGTTAGAATATATATAGTGATTTTCCAAGCATAGCTTAGATGTGTTACAAGGCCGAAAGTAGGAAACACCCAGTGAGGATCAGACTCACTACTCAGTCGTAATTGTTCTAGTGAGACAAGCTTGCTAGCCATTACACCACCTTAAGGAGCCCACATTGGATATATATATATATATATATATATATATATATATATATATATATATATATGCACAGTGTTGTAAAGGATGTCAGCTTGGAATTAGAAGACAGAATTCCAGTTATATTCCTTACATTCATTTACACACAGATATTACTCAGTTATGGGTAAATAGCAGGACAGACTGGACCCTGTAGCCTTGATTGGTAACCAGGCTAGAAGAAGGACAACTCAAATTGGAGGAAGATCCTTTGAAGACTTTGTGACACACAATGTGCACCAGTTCTCTGTATTCAGTTCTTCGGAAATGTGATTGGTTCTGAATGAGTCACCACCACTATAATCAAATCATATGTGCAGGTAGTCTGGCCATTTGGTTCTAAAAACTGAACTGCAAGACCCTTATATATCAAAAGTGATGAGAGAGTTTAGTAGCATATTATATAGATATATTATAGGATATCACATTCAAACATGTAGAAAAATGCAAATAATAAAGAATATAATGAAAAATATAAGAATATAATAAGAATATTGAGCCCTATTTTAAATTAATGTTATGTTTGAATTTATATTCGATTCATTCTCATTTCATATATATATATATATATATATATATATATATATATATAATATATATATATTCTATTATACATACATGCATATACTTAGTCTGGTACACATAAGTGTGGGGCATCAAGACAACTTGAATGCTAATTTTGTCTATAAGATGAGGTTATGTACAGTATTTACATTAGTTACCACCATATACTTATTCTTCTTCAAGGTTATACATACATGGGGTATATAGTTATTTTGACTTAGTCTCCATCAAACATCCATCTGAATTGGTTACAAGGTCATAAGTGTGGGGCATCAAGTGGGTACTGAACTTGCAATGCAATAATAATTGTTTTTGTTAGATGGTCTGTCTAGCCATTAATTTACATTAAACCATCTACACTTGTACCTATATATTTGTGTGCATAATGACACGTATGTGTATGGATGCATTATATATATATATATATATATATATATATATATATATATATATATACACACAATGTACAACTTTAGCAAATTTTTTACAGAATTGATCATTAACCCCTTCCTCACCAATTATTTTGAGAAAAAATTTCATTTTCAGATGAATACATATATTTGTTTTTAATACAGTAACTAAGAAACTGAGGCACTGTACCACCTTAACCAGACATATGAGTTAACAATTGGACTTCTTTCAGGCTCAAAGGGACATAAAAAGAAACAAGATTGATGTATAAACACATCTGTTGCTGGTTTTTGAACAATATGTTTTAGACGTGTTTATCTGTCCATGTCTGAAAAAGACATTCTTGGTAAAAACGTATATCACATCTACACTAGGGAAGGGCTTAAAGAAGACTAAGAATGGTTTTTACTATTGGCCTTTTTTCGAACACTTTCCCCTGAGCTCATGAATGACTCTTTCTTTAAAAAAAACATCAGCTTTCAAGAAAAGGAGATTCTCCCCAATCAATATTTACTAATCTTCCCTTAGTCTGACAAAAGGCCAAATTACAAGGTGAATAGGTTTTAAAAAAATGTGTTCTGATATTATTCCAGGTGGAGCATCTGCTTTGAAAATCCTCATTTGTAATCTTTTGATCTGAAATTGAACACTGATCAGTGATTCTGATTTAAATTAGACAATTATATCAGCCAAGACATTGGCCTGGTGGTGTGCTTAGTATAAATTAGGCCCTTATTTAATGATGACAAAGTCTGAAAATTTTAGAAAATAAATATGCTACTCTGACAAAGGTTAAAATTAATTTGGTTGACTCTCAGCTTTGTAAAAAATGATGAGAAAATATTCAAATGTTCTGAGGGGGAGGAATCTTACTTTTCTTTTGATAACAATCTATGTGCATATATGTGTAGGTTTATCTTTATAAATGTATATAATATGGAATACAGGAAAAGTTGTTGGAATTTTTTAAAAAATTTATTCTGTTGTTATCCTTTCATGCAATAAAAACATCATCAGAAAAGTTAAAAAGAAAGAAAAAAATTGTTACCATGACAACTTTACTCCTCAAAAACAATTAATTTGAAAATTTAACAATTTAAAAAATATATAAGAATAAAATAAATTGTGTATGTATATAAGTGTAAATATGTGCACATTTGTAATGTTTATCAATGTGTATGTGAAAGAATTGGTAAACTTATTAACTTGGCAAATAATGTTATGTTTTCAAACTCAAGTGACAGTTTCTGATCTCACTTCTAAACAGAAGGCATGAACATAATTTTCTTTTGTAATTTAATCTATCATGATTCATTTAATAGAAAGAAAGAATTGGATGTAATGCATTTAAGCCTATAAAACTCAGATTCTTTGAATCGCTTTTTAAATTTTTGGATTATAGAAATATTTTTTGAACATCTTTTTGTGCTTGAAAGAAAAAAAATTCTTTATTCTTAAATTTGCTGTAATATTTTTTCTAACGGTTCAATTTTTGATTCTTTCAGCTGTTCCTGAATTTGTTATATCTCCTACAAGTAAAATGATCGGTCTTGGTCGCACCTTGTCCTTACAATGCGTTGTAGATGGAAGTCCAGTTCCTGCATTGTACTGGCGACAAGGAACAGATCAGGTAAGTGATTAATCCCTGCCACAATATTATAATCTTTATCCAATCACTTTGCACAGTATGCAAGGATTATAATTTTGAAGAATTTCTTTCTGAGGAATTTTACACAGTTTGAGCAAACCTTTGTCTGTTTTCAGAATTTGATGTTTCCAAAACGTGATTATGGCCGATTCTCTGTTGATGAAATCGGAACTCTGCGAATCCGTCAAGTACGGTTTGAAGACGCTGGAGAGTACACCTGTCATGCTTACAATGCTGCAGGCAGTAAAGACAAGAAGGTCCATATCACAGTCAGGGGTAAGTAAAAATCAAAGATAAACTTCATCTAACTGTTAAGGAATTTATAACATTATTGTTATGATGTTTTGACATGTTTCATCTTATTTCTCTTGCTTATTTTATTCTAAACTTCTTATTTAACAGTCTATACAATAATTATCTGAAGCTTGCAATAAAAGCAATGAAAATTAAAATGAAAGAAAAAAAAACTTAATTAGTAAAATTCATTTATCAGTCTTTTTTTTTTTTAGAATGACCAAAAATTCTCTTTAAAGATTGTAAATGCTCTATGAACAATATTTTGTACCAAATTCAGCTTAGCCCAATAAACATCCTCTGTTTAGAAATTAATGTTTTTTTTTTTTCTTTTTTTAAATGCCATATTCCTCCCAGATGTAGACAATTATGATGTCCTATATATTCCTTTACTTTAATATCAGTTAATTACAATGTCATACATTCTTGGGAAAGATAGTAGAGTGGTTTCCCATTGCCTTCTACATGGTGTAGAATTAGTTTTTCTGCTCTTAGACAGGGGAGGGTACACAAAGCCAGAAAGTCAAGTCTACTCTGTTATTTAACCCATAGCTAGGAAAAAAGATGGATCTATACCTTTCCGAAGAGCATTTATGTGAAAGCGATCACAAGACTTTCCCAGAATTTGAACTCAGCTCTACAATATCACATTCCACGCCAGCATGTGTTGCACCACCCACACATCTGAATTAATGTTAGTATGTAAAATTCACTGCAAGATATCATTACAATAATGAAATGTCGTTTGATATTTTTTTTATTTCATTTTTTAGAACTTGATCCTGAAATTCCTGATAATGACTTGCGCCCACCGCCAATCATTAACATGGGCCCACAAAATCAGACTTTACAGACCACAACGGGCACCGTTTTGCCATGTCAGGCACACGGAGATCCGATGCCCGCAATCCAGTGGCTTCGGAACGGGCGACCCCTACAAATGAACAATCCTAGGCTGATGCTTTTGGGAACTGGATCCCTGCAGATATCTGGTAAGTTTTTTTTTTATTCCATCAAAAAAGTTTTCTTTCTTCTTTTAATTAATTCTATTATAACATCTATAAAATATCAATATATATATATATATATATATATATATGATAAAAAACAAATAGAAAACATATATCAATCTAACACGTTTCACTTTTATTAAAGCTTTGTCAGAGATTGAGAAAAAACAGACAAAAAGACAAACTTTGGTATTTTCAATTTTCCTTGGGTTAGTTCTCACTGGTCAGATATGTATCATGTGTATTAAAACTGTGACTGACCAATGAGAATCAACCCAAACAAAATTGAAAATATCAAAGTTTCTGTCTTTTTATCTGTTTTCTCTCAATCTCTAACAAAGCTTTGATAAAAGTGAAATGTTAGATTGATATACATTTCGTATTTGTTCTTTATTTTATCATCCTGTCAGATTCCAATCCATATTTGATCTTTAATTTCATGCATATGTATTAACCATTTATTCATCTGCGATTTCTCACAACCTATGAACAGTAAATTCATGCTTCTCTATGAGCATGATAAAACATCACCCAACAAATATTTGTAGCTAACATATGCCATAAGTATTACTTAGAGTACGTATTAAATTGACTTTTATAACGAAAGAAAATCTCACTAAAAGCTTTATCACTATAAGAAAATATTATTAAAATTGTATTTCTAAAAGAAATTTACATAATATGCTGATAAAGATTGAGAAAAAAGTTTACAATAATTAACAAAATTTTCACTCAAATTTTTATATAAAAACAGTTCAAATTTAAAAGGCTACTTATTTTTTATATTTTATATAAATATATCATTTTGCCAAAACAAAATTTGAAGATTGTAATATTATATTTTGTGCTTCTGGTTTAGTAGGTTACGGTAAAATAGATTTTTTTTTTAAACCTTGTTTCTCATTATTATGTAAGTATTAAAATTAATTTTATTTGTTCATCTCTAAAGAGAGTTACACTTTGCACCAAGACCAGCACATACCAACAGTTAGCTATTATAAATTCTTCTGAGAAGCGACAGGGAAAATATACTTTTTATACTCTGAGTATGCCTCTAAAGTTAATATTTGGCATAAGCTTTTCAGCAGAACATAAGAAATTGTTAGATAATCAATTTTTTTAATTAATATTTTATTCACTCTATAGGTTATCCCCACATAGCATTGTCAATTTTGCCAAAAAGTCATTAGGTGGTGCTTTCAAGCAACTATAAAAATGGGACACTTCCTCTTGCTTTTCTCTCTCTTTTGTCCTCCCAGTATAATGGAGTCGCAATGGTAACTGAGACCTTCTCCTGGGCAATGAGATATGTTTCTCCTTAGTAACTGAACTTTTTTCACACACACACGTATCACTCAAATTCTGTCTATATTTCTGAAATGAGGTATTGTAATTATTTACATTATTTACATTGTTCAGAGTGTTATCCTCATTTATTGTCATGTTCATGACTTTTCGGCCATTGTACAATCTGACCTTCTTCAGATGTTTGGAATTTCAAACTGAACCCTTTAGTGCATCCACCGGGGTAGATTGTCCTCAAGGACACATGGCCCAGTGTATAAAAACATTGGTTGGATCCAGTGACTTGACCCAAAGAGTCCTGAGTTCAATACCTGGCTATGCCAGTAGTGAACAAAAACTTGGAGAGTTGAGTTAAGGGGAGATAACTGAGACATCTGGAAGAGGCATGGCATGTGAAACTAGAACACTCTATCCCGTTAGACGAAATTCCAATCACCTGATGAAGATCGAAGTGTACAACATCTGAAAGGTTGTGAACATGACAATAAAGATGAGGACTACAGTCCAAATAATGTAAATAATTCCTAACTTGTGATGTCTTCCCTCTTTTTGCATGTATAATCGTGTATTTTCTCACTTATTTTCACTCTGTTATATAAAAACAAGTTACCACAGCTTTTAGTCAAACTAAGAAGTAATGTCTGCAACATTGGTCTCTCTGACAACACGATTTCAACATGCAACATTTGGTTCCTCCAAGTGCATACCACAATATTTAAGTCTACTATTCTAGTTTCTGCTGCATCACAAACATTAAAGTTTTATGTTTTTTTAATAAAACCTAAACATAATACAAGCTAGAATATAAATAAAATTAAAATAATATGCAATGAATTTCTGTAGACAAAGACTTTACATTGCATTTCCATATTAATATCATTTGCACAGCATTTATGTAGTACATTTTCAATTCATTCCTTTATAAGCTTTTAGTATTTGCTGTTACTGAATATATTTTTTAATCATCTCACCCCCAAGCAAAGTAATAAAGCCACTAAGATTGAAATTTTTATGTATTTCTTTAATAAACTTTAATCATATAATAGATTACATAAACAAATAATTTACATGTTCATACATAGCTATGTTTTTATTTATGTTTATACATATATATGCTTTTATTTACAGATCTTCAGGTGTCGGACACTGCCACTTATACTTGCCGAGCTGTTAGTGAAACAGGAGAGACCACATGGAGTGCAACTCTCACGGTCCCTGGTTAGTACATTTATTATGTTGCTGACATTTTCACTATCTCTTATTTGTCTGTGTGTTAGTAATGGTAAAAATTCAAGAACTGACAGACATTTTTCATACAGTTTTATATATAGATTTACTAAATTATTTTACCAGAAATGAATACTTCCTGAATATGTTACAATTTTTTGAATTTGTTAATTTAGAACAAATTGTGGCTGAGTTGGTGTGGAAAAGTTCACTTTTATTCTTTGCTTTCTTTATATTATTTCTTGTTTAAATCTGGGATGGATTTTGAAAATATTTTCAGTATTGGACGGATTTAAACATTTTTGGTAAAATGCAAATTGCTTCCTCTCTGGATTTAATGGCAAGAGTGTGTGAATTACTTGATAGCGCCCATCTCCTCTCCCATATTATGCAACTTGACATGTGGAACAAACAGTATAGAAGAATTCGTGATCCAAGTCAAGATAGCTAGTAAGGGGACAAAGTATTTGTATAAAGTGTAAACATACTTCCGATGAAAATATAAGTCTGAACAAATCATTAAATAATGGTAATGCCTGATCTGAGAATATCAGACAATGAGGAAGGCCAAAGAATGCATCAGCCAAAATGTAGAGATAAAGCCAACAAGGATGAGAATATTAGTTCAACCAATTTGAGGAATAATGATGATGGTTCATGTGAGAATTTCAAATAATGAGGAAGGCCAAAGAATGCACACTCCAGAAAATACTTAACTCCTGCTGCCATGCTCTATCTTCACAAGAGTCAGAATCAGATTTAGAATGGAACATTGCTGCTATATCTGAGCTGGTGTTGCCCAGTCCAGCCTTGACAGAGTTCAAAAGCGATTACACAGTCTTATGCATGATGGATTATTCTCCAGGCTGCAATCCTCTTTTTCCCCACAGATGAAACATTGCTAGCTTCTCAGTACTCTATCGCTATTACTAAGAAAAATGTTCAAACAAGTTACATTCCTTCATCCCACCACCCAGACTCTCACAGCTAGAAGCCACTCTACCAGATTCACAGTTGTGAACCAATGACAAAGAGGTTCAAGTCAAAACACAGCTTTTTACACTAAGCTAAACCACTGAACAACATAGCTCCTAGCCAGCATCTGTCAATGTAGAGCAACATGGAACACAAGCTCTCTCTCTCTCTCAGCCTGACAGAATCTCTTCCTCCTGATTCTGGTCCTGTCTGAATCACCTCTTAAGAGCTGTTGGTCACTGTAGAGTCAACCTTCAGAAATGGGGATATGCCACCAATGTTGATCCCAATTGCCAATGTGGGCAATCACAAACTAGGGCACATCTTCTAGGTTACCCCAATCTTGAAGATCTAGGCACACTTAATTAGCTTGAAACCTTAACACTTCAGGCAAGGCTCTATGTGCAATACTAGATGGGTGTGGGGTAGTGACTCAATAATAAGAAGGAGTGGCAAATCATCCCTATTCCCTTCAGTTCCACTTGGACAGCTTCTCTCCCAGAACTAGAAGATGGCTCCCTGATCACTACAATCTTCGCCTTTTCAAATCAAGAGTCAACAGATATCTATCCTATATATGCCCTCATAATATCCACTTTTTACTTCCTTCTTCCTCTCCCTTACAGCAATCTCACTCAGTAATTGTCTACCTTGAGTGGCTCTTGTCCCTTGTATTAGGTGAACTATAATAATAATAAAAATAAAAAAAAACTAAAATATGATAAAACCAATAAAGACAAGGATATTAGTTCAAACAAATTGTGGAATAATGGTAGAGCTCCTAGTAAACGTTATTTTAAAGAAACTTTGATGAAACTCTGAAACTCTTTCATTGCAGCTCCTGGAACTCCGGGTGTCCAGTATCATCGTGCACCAAAATCATCAATGTTTCCTGGTGCACCATCTCGCCCTGAAATCAGCACTGTGACCGACACAACCGTTCACTTGACATGGAATCCAAGTTCACATAAAGGTGGATCTCCAATATACACATACACAATAGAATATTTCAGTCCACAAACTGGAAAGGTAATTTTTGAAGTGCTGTTTCCTATATTCTGTTTTTAATTATTTTATCAAATATCACACACTAATATAAATACCTCTTTTTCCTCTTGAATTCTCCCTATATATGGGTGGGGTACTTAAAAGTTTTCAGTCCAATCAAGAAAGGATTCAAAAGAAATCTGTCATTTGGTCAGATTTATGGAAGTGAATTGGATTGAGAATTTTTAAGCATCCCCCTCAATTGTCCAGGTAGATAATGAAAGTTATAAACACATACATAATAAATTTTAAATAATAAATATGCAAATAAAATTTTATTTTTAAGATTAAATATCCAATAAGTTGCTGAAAAGTTTTGGTTCAAATCACTTCCCAAAATCAGTATTCTGATATGTGAAATACTGATTTTGCAAAGTTCGTTAGAGCATTTCAGGAACATTTCAGTACTCTCTTCATTTATACTAACATATCAACCATAGCACAATTAGTTAACAAATTAGTCTGAGAAACCAGCTCGGGTGATGAGTTCAATTCCTGCTGAGAGATTTGATGCATTACATTAATTATATTTTACTAAAATTAATCTTATTTATTATTCTTTTTTTTTTAATTGGATTAGAAAAAATAAACCTTTTTTTTTTTTTTTTTTTAGATTTAATGGTAACAAGCTGAGGTTTTCTTGCAAAAAAAAGATGGAAGTTTTATTATCTAAGAAAGCAATACACACATTGTTTTTGTTATCTTACAAAAGAATCAAATAGTCTTTTAATTTATCCCTAACAATTAATCAGTAGAAATTAGAGGGAGAAATACACAACTGAAGATATATTAAATAGACGACATATTTGTATTTTGAAATGTAGATGTATCTTTTTTTTTTTTAATCCCTATATTCTTTTTATTTCAACCTGAAAATAATTACTTCTCCATAATTTTTAAATTCTGATTTATTCTTGTCTTGTTTTCTCCAGGGTTGGGTAACTGCAGCTGATGATATATCACTTGAAAGTTATACAGTACGCCATTTAAAACCCAATAAAAATTATGTGTTCTTAGTTCGAGCCCGAAACTCTCATGGTATCAGCGCCCCTAGTCCTTTGTCGAGAATGATAGAGACCCAAGGTAAGCAATGAGAAATTTTTTTTTTTCTTATTCTCCAAGCAAGATGTCGGTAATTGACTTTAGATTGTTGTGATGGTCCTTCCAAAAAGTTTCTTTATCATAGAAATGCATCAATAAACACCAAATAATGTTTCTTCTATCTACCATGGTTCTCCAAAATATCTTGTCCTCTGTAGCTCTTAATAACTTTTGTCTTTTTATCATTTATCCCAAAGCCTGCTCTACCATCCATTCATTCAAGTTCACAAGGTACATTATGAATTGCTTTCCCCTGTCTCTCTTGCCCTCAATATGTTCCTGTGAGTATCAAATTTTCCAAGCCCTGTTTACTTTCTCATATTGTGAGTTTTGGTTAACTCTTTAGTGACATGATTTTCCTTCATGCCAACAAGTGAGTGTTTGAATCCAGGCCAATGCAGTTTGGTTTGTCTATTCAGAAATGTCAAAGCCTCCCCCAGCACCATGTGACATTCCACAAATATCTGTTCTCATTATTAAGATAAATTAGTCAAAATTAATAATAAAAAATCTGAGAAATTCAGACAACATGAACACTATTATATCTACCACTAGATAGTAAACAAACAATATGGCACAGAGAAAACTGGATAGAGAATATAAGACCAAATTTGAATTTTGCTTACTGATGAGTCTTTATATCTAAATTGGTAAAATGTCAGTTGGACTCTCAGGAATATAAGATGTGTGCCTCACCAGAGATTACTTTATTTACAATCCATACTGCTTAATAGTCATAGAATATCAAAACAATAACAAACAAAAAAAAACTATATTTCAATGATGAAAAAATTAATCAAAATTACAAAGAAAATGCTTCAAGAAATTTAATTTAATTAAAAAACATTTTTTCTGTCAATTTAAGTGATTCAGCATGATTAAAAATGTTTTTGGGGGTGATGGTAAAAAAAAGCTTAATCTGTAGCCCTGTAGCTTAACACAAAAATAAACATTGAATTTCCCAGGGATACACACAAATCACCAAATGTGGGTCCCAGGAACTCACTACATTAAAAACCTATCAGCATCACTGCATGTCTATAGATATGTTTATGTATATTTAGAGAAACCATGTACATATATACATGGGGTGCTGAAAAGTTATTGGCTTGGCCAACTTCCCAAAATCAGTATTCTTTTTCTTTAGTTTTGAGAAATTTGTTAAGGCTGAGAAATTTTCAGCACCCTTTTGCATGTTAGCATTAGTCTCACTGATCATCATTACTATATAATGAGCATGTTCCTCACTGGGTGCAACACACCAGACTAAAGTTTACTAAATATATGTTTATGAAAATTTAGCAAACAATAATAATTCAGTAGCAGGCATATATAAAATAAATTGTCTAGACCTTTCCTCACAATACATTGGAGAAACATGCAGAAATTTGAAAAAAATGTCTATGAACACAAAAGAGACCTCATAAATAACGATTTAACAAATGCACTAGTCATACACAGAAATAAATTTGACCACAATTTTGATTTAAAAAATGCAACACTCATCAAAAGCAATAGTAATTTACTCAGTGCCGCCCAGTTTTTTCCCAGTCTCACCTTTCTTGAAGGAATTACTACTTTCCCAAGCCAACATACACAACAACAAATGCATTGAAAAATCAAAGGAAAAATGGCTTAATCCATCACTTCAGCATTTTGAGATGTATAACACAAACATCCATCTTATAATTCAATCTAAATATTCTTTTAAAAAAAAAAATTCTTTTTTAAATCATTTTACCTCAGACAAGTTGAGAATGCCACTATTGTATACAGGGCGTTACAGAGAGTGAAGGTGAGAGTAAAGACTGGATGGGGGGGACCAAGGAAAGGATAAAAGCTGAATGGGGTTCAAGAAGATAGAAGATGGTGATTGATGTTGCATTTAAATTTTTGAAGATTGTAGTTATCAGGGAAAGAAGAAAAAATTGTTGGAGTATAAATGGCAGTTATGTTTACCTAATTCAACAGTAAAAGGGGTGGGATCTAGATGCTAATCTAGTAGCACACTTAAACATACATAGTCCAGGCACCAGGGAAAAAAGCTTGTCAGAACAATAACCATAAAAATATTTGTAGAAAAGACAGAGGGAAGCCATGTCTCATTGGTCAGAAAGTGACTGAAGTCAAGATGCCAAGTGAGGATCAATTACATTGCAGATCCTTCTTTGGATTTTGTCAAAAACCTCAAGATAAGTAGCAGGATCACCAGACCCAATATGGCAACAGTATTCAATGCACAGGTGAATGGTAGATTTGTAAATATGTAAGATGGACTCTGACAAAAAAAAAAAAAACTCCTGGCATGACACAGTGACAACTTTCCTTGCAGTAGATACAGCTATTGATTTGATGTAGTCATTCCACTTCAAATCATTTGAAGAACATGAGGCCAAGAAAGTGCAGTGTGTTGTTCTACAAGAGTAGAGCATCAGCCATGCTGATGACGGGCAGAGAAGTTTCTCTATGGTGGTTAAATAAGAGCAGTTTTGTTTTGGAGGCATTAAAATTTATGAGCCATTTCCTGTCCCAATTAACAACTGATTGGATGGCTTTTTCAAGACAGATTTTCTATTGAGACAAGAGTAAATGGTAGTGTCATCAGCATAAATGTCTACTTGGGAACTGATGACATCAGGGGGATCATTGATAAAAATCAAAAATAGCATAGTACCCAGGACAGAACCTTGTGGGACACCTCCATTTGTGTGAAAGGATCTGGAAGTGAGCCCATTCAAAATGACCTTCATTTCATAATTTGATAAAAACAATTTGATTAAATCCAGTAAACACACATCCAGTAATACCATAGTCCTGTTTCCTAGCCACTGGGAGATGTTTGTGGATATAAACTCCCAGGCCATTCATGTGGACATTAGAGTCCTTTGGAAAGAGAGGAAGGCAGCCAGGAATCAAGAAATTAGAGGAGGGGATTGAAGAGTTCCGATTAATTTCACAGAGAGGTAGGATGTCTAGAGACTTTTTGAAGAGGAATGATTCCACACTGCAAAAGTTGTTATGAATACCACGAATGTTGGAGAAAGAAAGGTTGAGGGGTTTAAGTGAATTTTGTTGAGCTCATTTAGATTTATATCATTGGTATCCTATAGTCATGGTGGGTTGTTTTAGTAAGCAAAGGCCTAGGGTAGTATTAGCAGTCAGTTGTTTAATATAATATGTGCAGGAAGGGAACTGGTACAGACTGCAACATAAAGTTGCCCACCAGAGGTGTTTGCAGGGAAACCCTTCCATGTGTGACATACTTGTTGCAAAATAAAATTATTACATTTGCCTTGATGGAGTCCATCAGATGATGAAATATGTCAGTTAAGACTAAGTATAATTTTCCTCTTGTCTTTCCATTCATTTTATCTCTTCTACAGATATACTTCATCTGAGAATATTTACACACACACACAATATATATATATATATATATATACACACACACACATATATAAATAGTGGTACTCACTTGGAAAAACCTTAGGTATTTCGGCTTATAGTTGAACAAACCAATACCCAAGGAAAAATGAGGAATAAAAAAAGAAAGAACTAAGAACATGAAATTGAGGCAAAAACAATCGTCCAGAATTCAAGCTCAGAATCCAAAGAAAAAAAAAAACTAAAACGAGTAAAAGTAACTACTTAAAGTGCTCAATACACAAAGTAGAGCAAACCTAATATAAACCTAAAGAGCCAGGTAAACCTACTTAGGTTTCACGTAAATGGCTCGTCAGGATAAAACTGGCCAAAGAGATAAAAATGGAACAGAATATATAGCTTAAACCAAAAACAACCATGACCATATAACCAAAAAAAAAAAAAAAAGTAAAACCAGTAAACACTCAACAATGGTGGGGGGGGGGCGGTTACATTCTTATTCAACAACAACAAAAAATGTGGTCATGGTTGTTTTTGGTTTAAGCAATATATTCTGTTCCATTTTTTACTTTTTTGGCCTGCATTTCCCTGACTATCTGTTTAGGTGAAACCTAGGTAGGTTTACCTGGCTCTTTATATATATATATATATATATATATATATAGTGCATATATTTATTTATTTGTACAAGTTGCTTGTGAAGCATAGGACTTCCTTGAAAATCAGGTTTTCTAACCTTAACTTGTACCTGGTCTTCAACACCTATGACTGTTATCAGTGACAAATACAAAACTCTCTCCACCCTTCTGTGGCTTTTGTTTCATTCAAATCATTCTGAGTATACATAGATATATGATTAGTATTAATGGTGAAATTCTCTTATTATGATGTTTACACAAAGCAAGTCAACACACAGGAGAGGCTCTCATTGCTAAATATTTGTTCTCCCTGCTGCCAAAACCTGTTTTCTTTAAAGAGTACTTGATGCACGTGAAGTAAACTCCACTTGCCATAGAAAGAATTTGTTGACATCCTTTGTTGCTGTGAATAAATGATGCAAAAACAAGTTGCGAATTTCCTGTTTTCTTTTCATTTGAAGGTCGAAGAGGAAGTGCCATGTTCACACAAGAAGAGATTGAGCAACGTTTGCGTGGAATTGTTGTTAATCTTCTCCAAGGAGAGGCTTTTGGACCATCAGCAATTAGAGTATATTGGCAGGTAAGATTTGCTCTGTATGTGTGTGTGTGTGTATATATATATGTGTCATTCGCAGACAGTATTGTTTCGCTGTATCACAGCTCCTCAGTGCAACTAAACATCCGAATGCCTCATACCAGGATCAAAAAAGGCAAAAGGAAAAAAATTTTCTTTACCAACACAATGGACAAAACACATTGGTAAAGAAAAACTTTCCTTTCGCTTTATTCATATTGTCTTTTCCATACAAATAAAAATATAGTTTTATGGCATATGCTTTATTTATAGTTAAAAAGAGCTTAATACCAGATATAGAGTATATGTAAATATAAAAGTGGACAGTGAGGTTAGCATTGAGTGGTGACAGTCTGTTTCATTCTTGAATGCAATCTTCAGGCCATGTATGTTTTGAGTTGACTATATATGATGTTCTATGGTGCATTATGAGTAGAAAGGTCTATCATCATAATGGTTATTGGTATGTAGTAATGGCTATGTTTCAAATTATTCTAGCTGCTATCGAGTAGGAATAATTGTCTAAATGCAGTTATTTGTAGCTATTTTATAGTGTTAACTTTTTACTTATTATTGATTACTTAACTATTTTTTGTTGATTATTATAACTTGTGTTTCTGTGTGCATTCATAGTTTATTATTTAGAATTTTTATTTTATTTTTGTTGGCTTTGTTTAAACAATGTTACATTATCTGCATTGTTTATCATGCATATATTTGCATTTTTGATGCTAGTATTTTACAAGGTATTTGGTTTTAGTTTTTGATTTTTGAGTAACATAGTAAGGATTTGTTTTTCTGTCTGTATTTTGAGATAAGTTTTGATCGTTTATTTTGTAATTTGTGTTGGTCTAGAAAAGTGATTATAGCTATTTTCTCCTCCAGAGTTTATAGTTTTGGGATTTATTGTTGTAGACTGATTTCTTTTTTTTCCATGATATTTTTGGTGGGATTTGGTTTTTAATTTCCCAGATATGTTTAGAAATTATTGTGCTGTTAGCATATTTACTATTTGTAAAAGGTGTTTTGTGTGCATAGTTTCTCTGTTTCCAGTGTCTTTCAGTTACACCTACACATATTTTTTCTTTGTTATCTGCTGATTTTACAGTGCCCTGTTATATTGTTTTGCAAACACTCGCCATTTAAGGGACATTTATAGTTGCTTTCATTGGACTACACTGAAATTTATCAAAGCATATGTCACTGTCTAATGATTAGATACAGACACATCACTCGAATGAGTGTTACTATATCACAAGAAATTTTCATGAGAATACATACTATCCTGAAGTAGACAGATGCAGTATCCAGGCCAAAATGAGGATCATTCATATATATGAAATGTTAAATTCCAACTATGATAAAGTTGGCAATTAAAAGTGCTCAATACAATGTAGAGCCTATAAAATGTTTGGAAGCATCAAGAGTGACATCTTTTCCTCCTCAACTTGTGCCTGGATGAAAAGAGTTGGTAATTTGATGTTTCTGAACGCAGACTCACTATTGAATAAAGGACTGGAAATTATGATGGGATGTTTGCATGCAAAAAAAAAAAAAAATTAATATTTAATATGGGACCCAGATCCAGACCCCCCAAAAAACTACGAGCTCTCCATATTAAGGGCAACACAAGATAAAGATTGAACCTGGCCTGATGATCCTTCATTTTTGATGGTGAAACTCTCAGATCCCTCAGTTTTATTATATTTGTGTGTGTGTGTGTGTGTGTATATATATATATATATAATAAACTGTTACATTGGAACATGCAAGTTACCATGACAAAAACGCATACACTTTTGCTACTTTTCATTTAAGCAGTTTTTATTGTAAACTACAAACCAGGCGTATTTTAATCTTTTAGACATTTTCTTTTGTCTTCAAACATGATAATGAATTTTTAGTATGTAAAATTGTACATATGCAGGGTGATTGAAAAGAAACTCCCTATTTTATGTATGATGGACTTTCCTGTCTTGTAAAATTATAGTTAGGTAGAGTCCATTATACATAAAATATGGAATTACTTTTAAATCACTGTATATTTGAGCTCTTTCAAACATTTTTTAAGAATGGAATATGTTATGGTTTTGCAGTTTAAGGAAACTTTTGATATTTGTTTTCTTCCATCATTACATTTGGTATTTAGAACATTGTAAATTTGGATTCTATTTTGCTAATGTTGATATTTGCATATTGCAATGCTTTTTGTTAAAACTTTACAAGACATGTTACTGATCAACTTGTTGAGTTATTGTAAGTGCAACAATCACACTGTATGCAAACTCACTCAGTAATCATTTACTACTGATTGAGTCGTACCACAAGAGAGAATGTATTCACACATGCAAAGAAACATGTTCTATGATTGGGTGCCAAGTTACACCAATGCCATGCAACTAGTTCTTGCAATTTTGTCCAGAGACACCTTTTATTTCTATGAAGTTGCTTTTACTCAACAAATAAAGAAAAGTTCAAGTGACTTATCTAGTTAACTGACTCAAAAGTTTTGTATTGAAAAGCTCCTCAGGGTCAAATGTTTGATAAATCTATTGAATTTATTATCAGATCCCATATTTATACTCTTTAGGAACAAAGAAACACTAACTTTCAAATTTAAAATTCTTAACACACTATAGTTTCATTAAAAATGTCACAAGGTTTATATTTAGAACCTCTGTCAGTCAGTTATGTGCCATGCGGGATACACGCTTAGGCGATCATGTATTTTTCGATACATGACTGACAAGGCAGATTTTTTCCCACAGTAGGTTGCCATTTCTTTCTGTGGTAGACCAGTTGCCATCCAAGGCTATAGAACCCAGTCTGTCCTGCTAGTTACCTGGAGGGAGAGGAAGAGGATTCAAGCCTTTTCCAAGGGTATTACTGAGTGAGCTTGCATACAGTGTGATCAGCAAGTTGATCAGTAAAGTATTTTGTAAAATTTTAACAAAAAGCATGTAATGGATTCAAATGGAATTCAAACTCAGCTCTCCAATTCCTCAAACCAAGCCACAATCCATATATATATATATATATATATATATATATATATATATAAATAAATCATGTGAAACTGCCACTCACAATGCAATGTTGATTTTGTTTATAAACACTATCACCAAATAATAAACACTCTTCTCCCATTAAATATAGTAAAAGTTAAACAATCTAATTATATAAAACTATAGAGGTGCTATCCAAAATTTCAGGGAATTTAAAGAATATGCACAAACTAAAAGTGATACAGACTTTTGACTGCTACCATTTGTGAGAAATAGCTAGATCTACAAACAAGTAGGAACTACTTCAAAGAAGTAATAAGGTCTTTTTATTTTCATGATCATATTCCACAGACTTTTGTATACCAGTGTGTACACCTTGTTGATTTATTTTCAACTCTTTCCAAATCTTCTAATTCCAGGTAATGAAAGGACACAATGCAATTGATGGATTCAAGATCAAATATAGGAGAACAAAACACAATAGTGAGATTCATACTATAACAGTGGAGGATCCAACTGCTACTTCCTATCTTATTGAAAACCTTTATAGCCACACCTGGTACGAAATCTGTATTCGTGCCTATGGGGGAAAGGTGTTTTCGCAGTGTAGCAATCCCATCAAAGTTCACACAAATGAAGGAGGTAAGTAAAATTTAATATATGCAATAATTTCTTCTCAGAAATCTAAAAGTGACCCTCAAGAGATACAGGTCATAGATTTTAGATTCATAATTTATTTACAGATTTTTCCCTCATTATTTTTAGCATTTAGATTTATTATTTATTGTAAAGGAAAAACAGATTTTTTTATTATGAGTTTTATTCTGTATTAATCATTTACATTATTCTGCTTGCTAGTGTGTACAACAGTTCTGCTTTTCAACCTTGGATCGGAGTGTAGTATCTGCACAATCCTTGTCTCTTCTGAGCTGGTTTTGCTTTCTGATCAAATATGTGCATAATATTAAATGGAAAAGTGAAGGTGGAAGGGAAACATGGGAAGGAAAAAAAAAAAGGATAGATGGTAAGAAAGCTAAAGAAAATAAAAAAAAGGTTAAAGGGAAAATAAACATATATATATATATTAGCAGCATGGCCCGGCTTTGCCCGTGCTTGATTCAAAAATCTTACGACTCATTCAGCAATCGTTATCACTTGACTTAAAATATTTTTGCCCTTCCTTGTCTTTAAAGAAGTGCCCTTTGCCATGCTGATGTTGCTACATGCCTTACTTCTTGCCTATCTCACACTGCGAATTTTTCTAAGCTCTATACTAAACATTAAATCTGTTACGAAAAAAGAACTAAACAAAATGAACACGTAACTGGAAAAACCGAATGAAAAAAGAATGTTAACAACAAATACATTTTCACACCCAACCCAGTTCTGCGGAATCAGAATCAATGTTGAGTTTAAGCAAGCGAATGAGCCAATTGGAGTAAATTGCCATGCAGATTTAAATTTTTCCCACTTGTGACGAATGCAGCTATTGATTTTTTTGCATGCTAGTTAACATTCATGTCAGTCAGCTGTTGGCTCTCACACTGGCCAATAGAATCTTCCTGCCTATTCGTGGCAGCCAGCTATTGGCTCTCACTCTGGCCAGTAGAAAATGGCTGCAAACTACATGAAAACTGCTGTAGAAGCATGAAAAAAATCAATTATTTCCACTATGGATGGGAGTTGGGAAATGCAAAGTCAGTCTTGGCATTCCCGCTAACTTGGAGCATGTGCATGTAAATTTTGGTACAAATCCATTGAAAATTGCAGCCATGCATTCATTACCCACATACACACACACATCCTGCCTTTTATATAATTATTTCAAAATACAAGCTGAATACAAATGCCAAAACCAGTGAAAATATATAATTCTGAAACAGAACTCCAGTTAAGAAAAGTGCTTGATGTAAAAAACAAAGCAACAATAAAATTGCTATATATATTACAAAACACCCAACAATGTTGGTGTGACTAACAGATAATTTAACAAAAGACCTAAAACCTTAGAGAAGAAAAAGAAATCTCAAACAAAGAAAAGACCAAAACTCAAGCTAATCACTGACCTATGTAGTACATTAATGTGCTCGGTACTTAAACTATCGAGACAGAGCAAAAAATGCTTCATAGCATCAGAACAGCTCGAGTCATTAGTCAAGTTTCACAGTCTCATGATATTCAGATGACTAAAACTATGTGTGTGTGTGTAGAGAAGAAAGAAATACAGGCTCATTGGCTGGATAGCAAAAGACAATGAAAGAAAGATAGAAAGGCACAAAAATTGTGATACATTAAATTTATTTATGAAGAGAGAGAGAGCAAGATAAAACAGGGGATAAGGGACTGTATTTCTTTTTTCAAATATGAAACAAAAATCTTTGTTTGAAATTTAGATAAAAATATGAACAAGTGACAAAGTCTGGTACAAGGAAAAGAAAGAGAAAATACAGGTCAAGGGTGAAAGAAGAACAGATACATGAGGTAATAATGGATAAACTGGGTCATTAAATAACCATGAAATTTCCATGGTTCTAGCTAGGATTTTCCATGGTTCTAGCTAGGATTTGCAATAATTATAAAAGTGAAAATTTCTTGTCTAAAAATTAAAATAGAAAAATTAGTTAAAGAATCAAAGAAAGCCTAAAGAATAGGAGAGGTGTGATCAGCTTCAGGATGTACTTCAGGGTTTATGTCCCACTTAATCATTGTTATATGGTTAAGGCAACATCCATATGAGAGATGTTTCCCAAAGGTGTGAGACAGTTGCCAAATTGGGTTACATTTGAATATTCAGCTTATTCTAAAAATAATCCCAAATATCACAATTAGCAAAATTTAAAACTTCACAGTATTGGACTGTCAAAACTAAACCCTCAAAGTCACAAGTAACATCCCCCACCCCCAACTAGTGGATGAGGGATATCCAAGTTCAAATCTATTGCTACATCTGCTTCAAGGAAGGTTGGTTCACTGTTTTGGGGCAAAAACTTTTTCTCCATCCATTCATTAAATACTTTTGCCATATCTGGTCTGGTGTTCCTACTGTACATCACAAGATTCTTAACATCCAGAGAAGGATCTGCAATACACTATCTTAACCCAGTATCTCATGTCCAGTGAGACATCCTAACCAATGTGATATGGCTTTTCTCTGCCTGTTCTACAAATATTTCCATGGTAACTGCTCAGATAAGCTTTTTTCTTACTGGCCTGACTACATGAGTGTGCTACCAGATTGGTAACTAGGTCTCACCATTTTACTGTTGAACTATCTAAATGTAATTATCATTGCTACTCTAACTGCTTTTTTTTCTTGCACTTCCCACCTGTGAAACTATCTTCGGATTTCTTACTTCCCTGATAGCTACATTCTTCAGAAATTTAAATGCAACATCAATCGCCATCTTCTAAAGCCTGTTCTTTTTTTTTTCTCTTTCCTTAAGCCTCCCCATTTTCAATCTTCTCATTCTCTTTCACTTCCTGTAACCCCCTGCATCCTAGTGGCATTTTCACCTTTCTTGGAGTGAAATGATTAAAAAAGAAATATATATATATATATATATATATATATATATATATAGTGTATATTTAGGCAGCATATTTTCATTCAAACAAGTTTGGTTAAATAATTCAGACATATTATGTTAATTAGTTTTCATTTGGCCAACATTGTATATCAAGTTAAATGTGCTTTAGGAAATTGTATCTCTGAAAAAAATGTCAATATATACGTTGGCTTTACTACGACGATGCTAACAAAAAGGCTTACATTTCAGTTGGCTGAGCATAGTTCAATAACTCAGCATTTAAAGGAACACTTATGTCCATACTCACAGATTAGATGGATATTACTTGAAAATACATCTGTATTACATAGAAACAATAATAAGCAAAAACTAAAAATCCTTGAAGCCCTTTATATAAGAGAATTAAAGTCCAAAATAAATAAAGTCAATTATGAGTATAACAACAAAGTCCTTAAATGCTTATAAAAATATATATATATATATATAAAATAAAAAAGCTTAAACATTGGAATATTAGTGTTTAAGCCTTTTTATTATATCCTTACTCTGTCTTGGACATTGAGTTCTACCTGGATTCTATCCTCTTGGATTTATTTTTTATACAAATATATATGTATGTATGTATATATATATATATATATATATTTATATATTTTAGATATATGATTGCATATGTATGTGTATATTTACCACTAATATTATATATATATATATATATATATATATATATATATATATATATATATATATATAAAAAAAAATGGAAAAATTACTTCCTTTATACTGGGAAAAAAAACAAAAAGAAACATGTGAACTTTGAAATCTAGAAAGCTGCATAAGCAGTAAAAATGAACAGTTGAAATATTTTGAATTTACAAAAACATATACATACTCAGACAACTTAACCCCTGAAGATGGATTTGATAAAAAATATACATATACACACATCTACTTGCACATATATATTTCTTTCTCAGGTGTTATAAAAACAGTGCTCAATGTTATATAACACCAACTGCAGTAACAAAGAAATATTTGATGATAATAAAACTAGATATACTAAAGCACTAGAATACAGCAACCATAAAGTGAAATTAGAGTATATAGAAAGAAAAGACAATAAAGATAAAAGTAAGCTAAAACAACACAAACGTACTATCATATGGTTCAACCCACCTTACAATAGTAACACCCAAACTAATGTAAGTAGAAATTTCCTGAATTTAATTTGCAAACACTTTGGTCATTCTCCAGCACTAAAAAAGATTTTCAACAAAAATAATATTAAGGTAAGCTATAGCTGTACAAAAAACATCAATAATTATATAGAGGAACATAATAATAATATATTAAGCAAGCACACAAACAAAATACTAAATAATAATCCTAGTAAAAGTCAATACAACTGCCATAAAAATGTAATCTGCCTGTTAAATGGCTAGTAGATGACTGAAGGCATAATCTACAGAGCTAAGATCAATTCAGATGATGATGCTAAATATTACTTTGGATCCACAGAGAACAGCTGGAAATCAAGTTTTACCATCACAAAATGACACTGAACAATATTAAATACAAAAACTGCACAACACTTTCAAAGTATATTTGGCATTTATAAAACAGCTATAAGAACCAAACTCTTAGCTGTGAGATAATCATGAAGGCTAAACCATACAATGGAAAGGGAGACAGATGTAACTTGTGTTTGTTGGAGAAACTTATTGTATTAAAACACTTAAATAACCATAGCTTGCTGAACACGAGAAGTGAATTGATGTCTACATGTATCCATAAAATCAAACATCTGCTCAAACTCGTTGAACCTGATTAAAATAAATTTCAAAATAGATTTTACAAAAGAACCCCTCATTAATAACATTTTTTATATATCTATACACATATATAATTCCATAATATCATACTCAATTTATAATGTGTATATAATTTCACTTTTGTAAGTATGAGGCTAGATTCTAAACACATTAGATATATAGTCTTAATCTATCAATATATTATCATCATGAGTGCTAAGTTTAGACATTATTTTAAATGTTATAACAATGACAATCTGTGCAACAGAGTTATTCCCCTTGATACATAATGTATTTGCATAATTATAGGCAATAATAATAAAATAAAAAAAGTCTTAACAGAAAATTTTAAATCATCACCACAAGAATGTGGATTTCATAATGCTCTAATGGTCAGTTGATATTCCGCACCTGAAAATTGCATGTTTGCATCAAACTCTGAGATGTTAGATATTATGTATATTCACTAATATATATATATATATGTGTGTGTGTGTGTGTGTGTGAAAATGATGTATAATTTCCCCTTTCCTTCATATGCATGTGCAGTCATGTCAATGTAAACATAACTTTATTCTGATGAAGTCCTAAATGACAAAACACATCACACAAAATCCTTCTCCACTTTTCCATAGTTTTTTTTTTTTCCTAAAATTATCCTTGATCTATCATTTTCCCATACACTGATTATATTTAATAGTGCTACATATTGATTTACTGTCATTTCTGTTATATAAATTAAGTTATTCTATTATCTGATGAGCAGGATAGTGTTATTGATAAATGTCACAACTCCATCTTTAATTACAACTGACATTAGTTTAAGTGTGGACACAAATAAAGTGTAAAGATAGCATACATTGAAATACAATCTCGTTTGGATATGACATTAAATTATGGCAGGCAAATAGATATTTTTTCACTACAGTTTTTCTGAAAAGAGCCTTTCACTGAATTTTATTTTTGATTGTGTCCTCAGCCAAATTTAAAGGGAAGCACATGAACTAGCTCTTGCAGTGACATTTAATGGTATAAGGAATGTCACTGAGATAAGAGACAACAGGTTGGCAAAGCTTTGATTGGTATAGGATGACTTTCAAAGATTCTAACAATAGAGACCATTTTTCCTGTGATTCCCTCAATAAAAAAAGATATTCTTTTATTTTTTTTTTCTGTCTACCTTAAATAATCCTCCAACTAATTTTTATTTTTGATGATTGAGTTCTTGACTAAATAAACAGAAAATCCATAAGGCACAACAACCAATTTTCTAGCAAGATTTTTTATGTGGCATCATTGCTGTTAACCAAGGCTATAGGGGCCAGTTTGTCCTGCTATTTACCCATAGCTTGTGTGGGGTGAGAAGATATGGATTCCTACCTTTCCCAAGAGTATTTGCATGTAAGTGAATGTAACAAACTTGATGGGACTTTGACCTCCACTCTTCATTTCCTAAATTCATTGTTCCTGACATTCATAAGTTAGAACAACAATTAGTAAATTATCCCACATCCAATGAGATGATAGACTATTCTATAAAATACCTGTATGTCGGTCAGTAGGCATTGGAAATCAGCCTTGACAGTCTCCAGTTCTTCCCTTTTGTTCGTTCTTCATTAATAAATAATTTTAGTCTGTCACGTTCTGTCAACAAAGAGAACAATAGATCAGCTTTATACATTATACCGAATTTTTTTAGCTGTCAATGCAACAAAAATAGTTTTCCTCCCAATTCACATTCGTCTGCTTAAAATTGGTTCAGTACACGTGCTTTTTAAAAAAAAATGAAAGTCAAAGATTTTCTATCCAAACGAGTGTGTTTGTGCGTGAGAAAAGTTTTTAAAACTGAAAACACTGTTTAAAATTTTATATTGTGTATCTTTGTAAGAATAAAAACACACATACATTATGTAAATACATCAGTTGCCAATTTAGTTTCAATCTTTAGTCACAAAAAAAGGTTAATAACTTAGTAAATATTCTTTTGTAAGATTTTAATATCCTAAAAAGGAAAATTTATTCTCATTAAAAGTCTTAAAAACAATTTGTTGGATTGAAAATAAATTTGGAAGAAAAAAAATGCCATCTTTGTTCAAAGAAAATGAGACGTAAGATGACAAAAGAGTAAATTGAAATGGCAGAAGATGTCTTAAGTCTACCTACTTAACTACATTACTGTCTGGTGATTTTTTTTTTTTTTTTAACTTTTGAATTCACTTTCATCAGCTTGTGATGGATAACTATGCAAGCAATTGACTGAATTTTGTTCATATCAAATTTGTCTGCTGCTTTCATCCAATCTTTTCTCTGCATGTTGAACCTAATTATTTGAAATGAAGTGAGGAAGGAACTGTTGATAATTGTTAATTAAATCAATGTCAGCTCTTGTACACTTGAGGACAAGTGCTGATTCTTCATTAAAAATCAATGAATTTCATTAGATTTCTTTCTCTCATTCTCCTTTTCCATTTCAACTTGGCTCATTTCTTTCTGTTTATACATACATTTACATTAATCTTATTTTGGCTTTTCAAAAATTACCTCTCCTTATTTCTTTTTTTAGTTTAATCTCCGTTTTATCTTGCCCACCATTTTGTTTTTATTTGTTTTCACCTTTCTCCCCAAACAGAATTAATTATTTGTGTTTTACCTGTTTATTTTAGCACATTTCCCTCCTTTCCTTGATTTTATTTGAACAGTGAGGGTTTTTCATTAATATAAAACATTTGTTTAAATTGCCTGTATGCATAATGACGTGTAGTACATCCAGATAAATTTCAATAGACTTCTGCTTGGTTGTCAAAGTTAATTAAGAAAAACAAAAGTCATTAAAAGTGCAATAAAGTCCCTCCTTAATGATGTTTTGTTTGAAGTCACTTCATCAGAATGTTGCAGAGGAAAAGCAAGTTGAAAAACATTACTTAACAATGTCACTGGTGCTGTTCATTCTGTTACTAAATCCGAATACATCGATCTGTCTAAAATCTCATCAAATTATCTAAGTTCTTTATTACAGTGTAAGAGGAAGGATCAATAAATCTATAGCTATTAGTCAAACTTTGATTTGAAATTTTTACTCTATAATGTTTCAATCTATGTAATATTTACTACTGGCCTACAGTCATATTACATTGAAGCACCAGTTCCTGTACAATCACCAAAGTTAAGCAATGTCACACCTGGTCAGTACCTAGATGGGTGACCGCTTGAGAATACCAGTTGCTGTAAAATTGGATGTGTGGGTGGTGGAGTAGATAATGGATCAAAATTGTTCATTGGAGAGCAGAGTTCCAATTCCCATTGGTTTTGCTATATTCACTTACACGCAAATATCCTTGGAGGAAAATATGAATCAACCTCTTCTCCCCCCCATCTATACGTTAATTAGTAAGACTTGTATCACTAAACTATTATTGTCTCAAAAAAATCTTACAATCTAAAAAGTTTTCTGGCTTTAAATAACCTGCAAAGGGTTGATAAGCCATAAAAAATGAATCAATCACTCAATCTTCACCACTGAATTAAGTACATTAAGAAAAAATAAGATTATGTTGAAAAATATTTGTTGCATAAAATATATGCTTTTTTTTTATTAGGCTGTAGATTATATATATATATATATATATATATATATATATATATAATTGTATAATATATGTAATTGTACTTGAATTTTTTAAGAAATATATATATATTTCTGATAAGAGAAATATGAAAGTTTCTAAATCAGTCCAATATATATATATAAACTGGGTTTAATTAATTATAAACTTGAAAACAAAAAATCATAATCTTGGACTGATTTAGAAACTTTCATATTTCTCTTATCAGAAATATATATATATTTCTTAAAAAATTCAAGTACAATTACATATATTATACAATTACATACTAAACTATAATTTTAAAGACTTGTTGTCACTTATCAGGCAGTTCTTCAATAATGTTCAACACGATATGAAAAAGTTTACAACTTGAATCTAGTTTTCATTTGAGAAAATTTTCCCCCATCAAACTGTTTTGTAGTGAGTGAAAAGATAATAATCATTTAGTACAAGGGGGTCAAGGGAATATGGCAGGTTGGGGTCAAATAGACCAACCAAGTTCCAAAATGTTTTCCCTGCATTATTCCTGCTATATTGTGGCCTTGTATTGTCATGGAGAACAACATATTTTCTGCTGACAAGTGTAGAATGCTTTTCAACAAAACTTTTATGGACACATTGCCAGGCATATAAAGGTGAATTTAGTGTCTCATTGCATTTTGAGAACTCTAAATAAATAATACCCTGCCAATCCCACTGCATTCACAGCATTATTTTTCTTCCATGAAGCTCAGTTTTTGAGGTTGATTGGGAAAATTTATTCTTACCAATCACATATTTAATTTATTCTTACCAATCACATATTTAATGTACTCCAAGTACTTTTTTTTAGAATGATCTAGTCGTCATTAAAATTTTTCCCCCAAACAAAAATGAATTAGGACTCAGCTTATGACAAGCAAAATTTGTAGAATTATGGGATAGATGATTAAAAAAAAAAATGAAAAAACTGCAACTGTATCTATTTGTAGCTGTAAAGTCAGGATGTACGGTTTAAAAAATTCTTTTTAAAAATATACGTCTCATAGACAAAAAATATATTGTTATATACAATATGCTACTCAAGATTTAAATGAATCTGACCATGAAAAAATGTTATTTTTCCTAACACTTTATTTTTCTGTTGCTTTCAAAATATTCCTGTTCAGCATGGATACAAGAACATCCAAAAGAGTAGCAATAAAATCTATGCCACATTTGGTTCACACATGTTGTTCCAATTATCCGAAATTTTAATTACTGCCTTGGAGATGGAGTGTTTTTCCCAGCTCCGAAAATGCAACCCAATTTTAAGTTAAAAAAATTGGGAAAAAACACAAAATTAAGCAAAATAAAAAGTTTAAAAAAAATAATCATCAGTGTGTAAAGTAAATTTATTAGACTTATTTTGAATGAAAAAATAACTTATTCAACCCCAGAAAATTACTATATGAGAGGGTGCTGAAAAATTCTCAACCTGATATTTAGCCTGATTTTGGAAAGTTGGTTGGGCTGAGATCTTTTCAGCACCTCTTGTATATGAAAGCTTGACACATTCAAGAACTCTATTCTATTAAAAACAAATAAAATAAATTATTCAATCATCGTTTGAATCATTCAAAGGTTTATATATATTCTCTTTATTTCAGCCTTGCCTGCTGCTCCTGAAAATATTGTCATGCACTGGTTATCAGACAGCAGTATGTCTGTCCGATGGTCTCCACCACCTCGACCACACCGATACGGTGACATTAGTGGATATGTGGTAAGTATTTTCACACTTATTTATCAATTGCTAATATTGATTCTCTCTCTCTCCCTTGACAAATCAAGTCCTATAAAATGAACAGTAGAAAAACAGCAGTACTGCCAACTGCCAAACACTTCCTTGCAGTCTGGAGTGGGGGCAGGGTGCACATCTGTCCCATATAGGACTCACTGACCACCTGAGAGCTTCTAATAGAAATTTTTGTTCCCAACGATAAACCATAATGCTACAATACAGGACTTGGACACATCTCCCACATGCAATAGCATGTTTGGTTCAATGATTAGAGCAATGCCAATTGAGAGCTGAAATGTTTTGGAAATTCTATAAGAGTTCGGATAATTTACAAATTTAAACTGATCAGTTTTATAACAGTCTAATTAACAAATACTCCATTATAAAAGAAGAAAACCAATTTCAGTATTCCTTATCATTAAAATAATCATTAGCAAATTGACCTCTAATATGATTACAACTCAGTGAAGAGTTCAAACCTCACTAGTTGCTCCATAATTGTGGCCTTGTACCAGATTAAATTTTTTTTTATCAGCCTTTGGAAAAAAAACTTTTCATATTATGCTTCTCCTATCACCAAAACTTTTTTAAAACTGTCAGATTATCTTCATTAAAATTAAAGTATAACCTTAGATCATATTATGTTGATACACAAGTTCCCAGCACCATCTCCTGCAAATTATCAGAGAAATCATAGACATGTTATCGGAGTCTACTCCATTATTTATTGCTAATTCAATCAGTCAGCTATAGTACATTATTTACAAACCTTAGACAAAATACCCAAGCTAAGAAAATGAATTTCACTGAAACTTAAAAATGTAGCATTGTTTGACATTTTAATTTTTGTCTCTCCCATTTTGCTTAAGATTTGTCATTTTTTTGATAAGAAAATGAATTTATTACAAGAATCCAAAAGAGAAAATTGTGTCTCTAACCAGGAAAGTCTTCAACAGCTAAACTTGGATAAAGTGTCACTGTGTAAAATGTTACAGTGAGCAATTGGCTTGTTTGAATGATACAGTGGCAGAGAAAAGTCAGTTTTGTCTTTCTGGACAATGAAGAAAGACACATGTGACTTTTATGCATGATTAATGCTTGTTTTCATTTAAGAGCAGTAAATTATTATCAAAGAGCAGCAATAAAGAACTCTTCCACATTCAGGATATTCACCTGTAAAATTCAGGAAATCAAGTTTCTTTTCTAATCTAATCATTTTTTTTTTATTCATGTTTGCTGAAGAATTCATTAAATCAAAACTAGAACTTTTTTTCTTTTTTGTTGGAATACACAATTTAATAAAGAGATGACATCAGTTCATAGACAGGGGACTATATTTTAATGGTTGAATAATGATGATAAGAGAAAAATATAGATATTATTACTCCAAACTTTATTTTTAAAGTATACTTCTGTTTTAGTAGACACTCCATTCTTTTAAACATTGTGAATTATGTCTACTGGTTTGTGTACTGGAGAGACAACAAAAATGTACTATCTAGCAAGGTTTAAATCTGCATCCTCCTTGGTAGGGGAAACCACTGTCCAGAGTGCTTTAGTATGGTTGGCCACAGAGAACATCACAGCCAAAAAATGTTCAATTGCTTTTTTTGGAGAATGCAGTTTAACAAAAATTCTATAAAATTTCCAAATCTATTTTGGTTTGGTTTGTTTTACAGCATATCAACATCAATGGGATATTTAATGCTGACAAGATTTTTATTGCTAGTAATTTTTTTTTTTTTTTCAAATATGTATTGCTGCTACTAAAACCTATTTTTACACTTTCATAGTGTTTTGACTCCAGTTTGGAGGTTAACTATTTGCCCATAGCTGGGACCCTAACAGGTGCTACCACCCTGGGTCAGGGTTGACCTGGGAACACCAGCAATTAAGAAGTGGTTCCATACTCCTCAAAACCTTCTGATCAGAGACCTTACTGTTGGATGTAGTTTATCATTTCGGCCATTGTACGCTCTGGCCTTCTTCAGGCGGTTGGAATGTCGAACTGAACCCTTTATTTCACTCACTGGGGTAGACTGTTCTAGTTCCACATGCCATGTTTAATGGATGTCAGTTATCAGTTATCTCCTGTTAATTTCCCTCTGAAAGTTCTTCACTGCCTTAACCGGGTATTGAACTCACACTCTTTGGGTCCTGTCACTGGATCTAACCAATGCATTTATCCACTGGGCCATGTGTCCTCAAGGACACATGTCACAGGAGATAACTGACATCCATTAAACATGGCATGTCGAACTAGAACAGTCTACCCCAGTGAGTGAAATAAAGGGTTAAGTTTGACATTCCAACCACCTGAAGAAGGCCGGAACATACAATGGCCGAAACATTGTAATAAATATGGCAACAAAGATTAGGACAATAATCTGAATAATGTAAATAATGTACATAATACCTGATCTCAAAAATATCAACAGATACAGTTCTGTTCCCAAAACCTTATTTATTATAGAATTAGTGCCATTTTAGAAAATGTTTTTATTACAAAACTACTATATACAGTTTCTAACATAAGTAACTTATATCTATGAAAGTGTGGGGCCTTTTTGTTGTTGTTCTTTTGATGCTTTTTAAAAACAAAAATAAAATTATTTTGTAGGTGAACAAAAGTTACAATTATTTTAAAATTGTTTTCCTTACCCAATCACAAAATAAAATCAAAATTATCTCTTAGCAATGCAGTGTATCATTGTATAATGATCTTATTATTTCAACAATGATACTTATTTTGCTAATTTTCTCCTTATACATATGACAGGTTCAACTAGGTTACATGATATCCCTGACATTTTTCTCTGCTTTTAACCATGAGACCAACTTTGCACCTCCAATCTTAACATAAGCAAGAAACTTTACAAAAGACATGTCCTTAAATTATTTATTTAAAAAAGTTATGTTCTCAAAATCTGAGTTGTCATTTTCAATCAATTCTGTTGCTGATTGCAATTAAGCTTATTGGTATATACAAAAGAGATCAAAGTCTCTGAATGGATGGCTGTGTCATGGCAACAACCTCTTTTATATCCCATGTCTTTTCAGGATGTGGTTGATCGTGGATCTCCATGACTTCTTTCTTTACCAACATTTTTTTTCCTTGTGGTTCTTATTCTATGATTCATTTACTCAAAACTTATCAAGTAGCTTACTCACTGTTATTCCCTACTTCTATTGCCATAATCCCTGTGAGTGTTAAATTCTCCGAGCCCTCTTTCCTAATTAATGATTTTTAGCACTAGTTTCTATACTAATTAAAATTTCTTTGTTTCTCACATACCATGAACAGATCTATGATAGTCTCAACCTTTGTCAGTAGAAACACATTTCTCTCACTTCAAGTTTCATTTCTAAGGAAATGGTTTAGTATTCACGACCACATAGGAGATTAGATACTAAGGACATTTATCAATGACAACGGTACTGACTAAATAAATACCTGCTTGGAAATCCAGATATACCTATTTAACCTTTCACACCCTCACCCCAAATGACACTGTTGGCAGCACCTTCCCACTCTGGTTGTCACATGGTTATTATTGTCAGTCTCCACCCTTTGGCACGGGACAACTTCACAGGAAATAAACAACAGCCAATTTGCATAACTTTGACCCAGACACCACCTCATCTCCTTTTTCAGGTTATTTCCAAATCACACTGTGTAGATTACAGGCTTTTATGCCCAATATATATATATATATATATATATATATATATATATATATATGCATGTGACTATATAAATTAAGTATAAAAACAAATTTTGTAAAATCATGTGCTGAAAAATAAAATTTCACTATCAAGTCATGTTCAGAATAAAATACCCTTATTAGTCTCCGTTTTTTATAATCTTCTAGGTAACATATCCCTTAAGGACTTTGATGATCATGGCTCTCCACAATTTTCTGTCATTTGTAGCTCTTAATAAACATTGTTTTTTGTTATCTCTCCTAAACTCTATTCTGCCATCCATTTACCAAAGCTCACTAAGTAGGTTATGCATTGTTTTCTTCTCTTCATCTTTGCTGTTTTTATCGCAACTTTTCAGATGATATATTCTTTAGCCTTTCTTAGTTGTACATTGCATCTGATAATCTTTAACCATCAGCCAGTATGTTTCTTGTGCTTTTTTTAACCTCAGAAAACATTTTCAACTCACAAATGCATATGAGAAAATTTCCAGAAACCCCCCAAAAATGACCAAATATAACCCATATTATTTGTAATGCCGTGTTCTTTTATGACATATACAATCATGGCTCTTCACATATTCCTTTTATATTATCTGTGAATTACCATACATTCTTCAAGAAGATAGTGGAGTGGTTTCCTTCTCCAAGGTTTGGAATTCAGTTTTCCTTATCTTAGACTGATTGCCACCAAAGCCTAGAGAACTAAGTCTGCCCTGCAATCTAATCCATAGTTGAGGGAGTAGATATGAATTCATGTCATTTCCAAGAGTATTTCTGTGAAAGGGAACACAATTGATTAGCCTGGAATTTGAACTTAACTTGCCATTTCCACTTTCTGTGCCAATATCTTTTACATACACCCATACATCCTTATAGATACTCCAAATATCTTTACTGTCAAATTATTTTTTTCTTGAGTTTATTCTCTCACTCATTTATTAAAAAAAAAACAATGACTGTACAAGGATTTGCATATGTGCTGCTTCTTTTATTTTAGACACTTTCCAGTGTGATTCTCTACATGTTACTTTGAATTCATCCCAGAAATAATAGTGATCTCCATTTTCTCTCTAAACATGTTCTGCTATGCTCGATTTAGTGGTTTTGCTTTTGATTATATTATTCACTTAAGAAACCACTTTCTCCTCTATATACCCTACTGCAACTGCAGGGGATGTTGTGTGTACAGTTTTTATTAATATTCATTTTTTTTTTACTTCACATATAGATTCGTTGCTATGGAGAAGATAGAAAGGACAACTGCAGTCTTAGTACCAATTCCACTGTGCAAAGAGTTGTGCTAGAACGGCTGAATCCATCATCGACCTACATGCTGCAGATTGCTGCAGTTACTGGCAAGGGGACTGGAACGTGGAGTAAGAAGTTCTATATGGGTAAGAAGATCATACGATTGCTTTTAAATATATTTGTACACGTTGTCAGCTTGTGCGCGTTAAAAGCTGCTCTTACCAAAAAGCAAAATGTTATTCAGGCAGAAAAATAGAAACAAAACAAAATCTCTTCAGCATCTTTGTCATTATTTTGTTCTTGTTTCTAAGTGAAAAACAAAATGGCTAAGTCAGAAACTGTCTCTTTCATTGATTTCCATTCATTTTAAAACTTTTCCTTTCTTTAAATGATTAGATGATTGTATTATTTTAGACTCTTCAATGTCTCTGAAATTTCTGTCTCATGAGTGTTTACTTCTTATGTGAAAATTTTTCATATAAAAATATATAGTGTCTGCCAAATTATATATATATATATATATTTAAAAAAACAACCATATTGAACAGTTTATAACTTTTTATAGCTGATGATTGGGAAAGCCATGAAGGTCATGCTGTAAATATAGGTATATGTGTAATTATTAATATATACTTTATAGCACTGTTTAATTACAACATTGTTTAAATAAATAGTTATTTGCTCACATATATAGCTGATTGCATCTCTTTATTTGTAATATATATATATATATATATATATAATCTACTTCAACTCTGTATATCTGATGCCTCTGCCTAAACTCTGAAATTTTATTTACTATTTTTTTTTTCATCAATAGGAATATATAGGTTTGCTTATTGTCAGGTTCACACTCCTCCCTGGTCTTTTGAACAACAGTAGCAGTTTATTCCTTGTTTCCTATTTAGGATTGGGTTTCCGGTTCTTTCTAAAGTTTTCTCATTCTCTTTCACTCACAGTAGCCCATAGCATCTTAGTGGCATTATCACATTGCTTGGGGTGAATTGATTAAAAATATATATATATACACACACAAACGTGTGGATATGTGTGCACAAGTATATGTGAACTTTGTGAACTATTGCATAAACTATCTCTGATATTAAGCACTTTTTTCCTATAAATATAACCCATTATATAAATATATAACCTGAAATTTACTATCTTTATAGGAGGAAAAGTGCTCAGTATTAGAGATAATGTTTATAGATATAGACCTTGGTCTGATGATTACATTGTGGCATGGAACTATAAAGTGTTGGTTCCTTTGATCATCATTATATATATATATATATATATATATATATAAACACATGATAAGTTGCTGAGAAGTTTGTGACATGATCCAATTTACAAAATTATTATTCTGATGTTTCATTATTAAAATAAAGGTTTTTGAGTAACTTTTCACCACACACACACATATATATATATATATATATATATATATATATATATATTATATATGATAAAAACATAGTTTTAAGTTATGCTATATTTATGGGCAAAAGTGCTCAATATTAGAGGGATAGAGTGTGTTTTTTCCTTTTTTTTAATAAAAAATGATGCTCAATTGTATTCCATGAGACTGTAGAGAAAAAAAATAAAACTTGGTGTCAAGGATACAGTTTGTCATTACTTTTATGATTTAAATAAATTTAATATTATTTTCCAAATATAGCAAATATCTCATCATAAATCTTGATAAAAACATAGATGGCACTATGGAAAGTCTTGAATATACAAAATATACAATGAATGTATTAGAAACTATTATACATATCTAGATAAAATGAGAACAAATGGAATATGATTCCACTGTACATAACATTTAATCTAAAAGAGGGCTCAATACAGAGTAAAGCTGAATATTATTTATTTTAGGATATTAAAACAAAAACATGTTAAAAATCACAACATAATTACAATCATGTTTCAACACCATAAATGTGTCTCCTCAGGCGATGCTAAACTACTCCATGCATCTATATATATATATATATATATATATATATATATATATATATATATATATGGTAATGCATGGTATCACAAGATCCTAAATCCACTCAGTAAATGATATGTAAATGTGATGCTTTTATTCTTATCTTGGCTTTCACAAAAGTTGCCTGAGGATATTTTCACCTTTCCTTGGTTCTGTTTTCTTCTAATCTTGTTGATTAAACGAGAGCAAATTAATGCTTCTACTTCCTTCACACCATCTTAATCTGATCTAGATGATCTATGCCTACTCATAACAGCTTCTTTAAATGCTTGTTGTACACTCCCAATGGACTGGTTGGCCTCTTTCCAGGCCTTTCTTACTACCAACCCTATATATGGGAGTGATTGTGGAGTTACTGCTTCAAGATTCTTCAAATCGCGGAAGGCTATTCTCACTTTCTTTTTACTTTGAACTGCTATTATGTGGCACTTGCTGATTGGTCCATTTATATGTAGCTTTCTTTGTTGTTTCTGACTAATGCTTGCTCTTGGCCAAATTTTCTGCTATTTCAGCTGTTCCTAATTATTATTAGAATTTACGATATATATATATATATATTGATTAAAATAAGTTTCTTCATTTTATTAAGTAAAAATAAAAGACACTTAACCATCTTCATAATTCCATTCCCTAAACCAATGTTTCTCAATCTTTTTTTTATTTTTTTTATTTTGGAGAACATTTGTAACAAAACTAAAACTCTGGGGGTACATTTTAAATTTTAATAAGGAGAAATTAGTCATGAAATTTGAAAATGTGAAATTTTGGTTTATCATTCCCAAAGAAGACTAGTGGTAGAGTTTTCATTTAAAGGGATTTATGAAGATTTTTTTTTTTTAGAGAGGTCAATTCATTACTTAAATATTAATGAATTTAACATCTAGTTTAAAATATCAATTGACAAAGACTTGATTTGGACATGGAATGTATGTGCTTGGTATCTCTAGCTTTTTAAAAATAAGAATTTTTTAAATATAAAAATAATTCATAAATTACTCTTCTGTTAACTTGGGGCATATCTGGCTACCTTTTAGAGCACATTAGTGCACCTGGGCACATCTGGCTACCTTTTAGGGCACATTAGTGCACCTGGCTACCTTTCAGGGTGCATTAGTGCACCTGGGCACATCTGGCTACCTTTTAGGGTGCACCTGGGCACATCTGGCTACCTTTCAGAGTGCATTAGTGCACCTGATTGCACCAGTTGAGTAACTTTCTGAGCAAAGAAATCCCAGGGAATTTTTTAATTTACAGAATTCTGTTAAGACCAGAATAAATGGTAATCCAAAAGTGCATTATCTGCTGAATATGACAGATAAGTAAAATCCTTGCAGTCAAATTCACATACACACCATATTTTGCAACCTACAAGATTGACTCCTTTTTTAAAAATCTAACACTCAATCTCAAAAATGCAATCCATACACTGAAGGTCAGGGTTCAAACTTAGGATCAGTGAATCACTTGTTTCGCCAAGGCAAATTCATGATGCATATATTATATTTGGTATACAGTGTAACCCGGATATAAGAGAGTTGTCGGGACCGGAGAAGAAGTCTCTTATATCCGGGTTTGGTCTATTTTATATACATTAACACAGGCTCTAATTTGGGACCAGAGAAAATCTCTCTTATATCCGGGTTTCTCTTATATCCAGGTTACACTGTATTAACAATAAAAATACAAATTTTGACTAATATGAGAAAAAGTACTATTTATGATAAATCTATTCATAGAAACTATCGTAAACATTTGTCCATCCTCAAAATAAAATTGTTGTTACAGATTCTCATTACTGTGATTAATTTTCTTTGTATTTGCTACTTATCTATAAACACTGTCTTACATAAACAGTACTTTACTGATTAGGCTACTGAAAATTGTCTGCAAGCAAAATTCTTTTTCCTCATTTGATTTTCTCTGCATAATATTGTTTGTTTACAACCAAATTGTACTAGATTCTCAGATGAAGCATTTCATTATTAATTTTTGACCAGGTCTTCTTTTCATTTCATAATTGCTTCTTTTTACTAGAATGCTCAGGTTATTTTTTATCTGATGATTACAGACCCCCACCCCAGTATGCAAAGTTCAAATTTATTCATATAGCTACATTCTTCCTTATCCAATTTTGTACAAGCCATATTCTTCTTTTATACCCAGTATATTCAAATGGTCTAAATTTGTTTAAATTTATTACATGAAACATTTTCATTATTCATTTTTGATAGAATAAAAATTAATCTAAAATTAATCATGAAAATTCTTCATCTAAAAGATCTTGTCAACTTAAAGATTCTTAATTCGAAATTTCCATATTATTGCAGTAAAGTCATTTATACAAAAATTTTTATTCTTTTATTTGCAGTGCCAGAAAAACCCTCCATCATGAAACAGCCATGGTTTATCGGAATGCTGATAGGAACGATTGGTGGAACATTATGGATTGCACTATGTATTGTCAGTATTTGGTTGTGTCGTAAAAAACACACCCAAAAGAAATTAATGGAACAGAGTGGCATGTATAGCAGTAAGTGTTTAATTTTGTTATGGCATACTGTCTGCAGTTCTTTTGATAAAAAGTAACAACCATATATGTTGACATAATCTTTCTGTGGCAAAATTCAGTTTTTCAATTAGTTTGATTCAAATACAAAATTAATACATATTTATTCCTAAGTTTAGGCTAGTGTGACAAAAGACCATTAGATTAGAGCACCTGTGAAGTAATAGATGAAATCAACTCAATCAGCACTATGCCACATTGAAGCAAACTATGTTAACTATAAGATGGCTTAATGTTTATCTCCCAGCAGAATAGAATCAAAGTTTAAACACTGATTGAGACTATATCATTTTCATGTAAATGCCCTTTGAAAAACATGAATCCAACTCTCCCTGTACTGTCCCATTATCTTATGTACACATCACAAACTCAGTACAGTAACCAACAGAGAAAAGTGTGGGTGAATGAGCATCTGGACAAACAACACTCCCATACCATAAAGTGACAGAAAAAAATAGCTACTATACCCAATGTTAGTTTTGAGAGGCAAAGACAACTATGGGCATGAGAGAGAGATGCACAAAGCATATTTGAATGGGTCAAATGGTTGCAGATTTCCCACTGGCACACAGTGATCAGTTTTTGAGTCTAAGAAAAAATTAGAATTTTGAATGTTGATTTTTAGAAGAGACAAAGCACTCCACTCTTGGGAAATAAGTTGCTACACAATCTTTCTTTTTTTACCTTGGACTTGAGTAAAAAGAAAAACAAAGTCTAACCAAACATCAGAATTTTGGTGGAATCCTTTCTTAGTCAGGTTGTAAACTTTTCAACATCACCTTAGGTGTGGGTATATATATATATATATATATATATATATATATATATATATATATCCAGGTACAATTTTTTAACATGATTTTGTTTTAATATCCAAAACTAAATAAAATGGATGGATGAAAGATAGAAAAATGCATAAATAAATTACAGACTCTTATTTTTTTAAAACATTTATTATAATATGATCATATATGCAGACATTATAATGATGAATCAATAAGTTTGTAACTCAGCTCAAAATTCATTTAATAATTGTGTTATTAGATTAAGTGCATTAACAGTGAAGAAAATTATCTTGAAATATAAATATTTGCTGTATAAAAAAAAAGATGCTTTTTTTTTCATCACCAGGCTACAGAATTATTGATACACCTATGTAGCTATTAATTATTGAGACACCAATGTAGCTATTAATTATTGAGACACCAATGTAGCTATTAATTATTGAGACACCAATGTAGCTATTAGTTATTGAGACACCAATGTAGCTATTAGATTATTTTACAGAATTTCAAATTTGGAAATTCTGACATCATAAAGAAACTATGCTTTGGTATTTAGAGACTAAAATTGTTTAATCTTTGTCTCTTTGTATAATGTATTGAAATATATTTATAATGTAAACGTTTCTGTATATGTTTATAATGTTCATCATTAGTCAGAATATATGTCTAAGCAAATTAAGTCTAAATTAAAATACCATATGGGAATTAAAGCTTAAGTGAAATGTTTTTTGCCCCCAAATCAGCAGTTAAGGCCAATTCCTTGATAAAGATAGAAACTTAAAAGTTCTCTAAACTTGGTAGTCATTTCTGTGACTTGATTAGAAATCATAGTGTTTTTATAAAGGAGATGAATAAGAAAAAACAAAACAATTTCTAAAGACCACTGACTACAAAATATGTGTGAGGAAAATTGAAGAATATATCCTCAGATGAAATGCTGGGAAAAAAACAAAGATGAACATCCATATAGTGTTTTGAGATGAAGAGTGAAAAAGACAATTTCTAATTGACATTGGATGCAAGTTATCCATGAGGAATGCTGGAAAATATTCTATCAATACAATAAAAATTGGAGATATTATTCTCAAAGATTTGTGGAATACTTGTTACATTTTTGCATACGACAATTCATCATCCAATATGTTAATGGCTTGATTCATCTGAGCCAAAGATTGCAGATTTATGTTTCTATGAAATACAATTGACGCAATAGTTAAGAGCTTTATATTCTGAATTCCAAGTCAAACTGATATTGTGTGTGCATATTTCTGAACAGGGTCAGTGCAAGGGTTATGAATTGCCCCACTTGACCAAAACGCCTGCTAGGTGGTGCTCTTTAAGTCTATAAAATGGCAAGCATATTCTCTCTCTCTTTAACTCTTGCTTCCAGAACATAAATAGAGAATGCCTGCCAGGAAATGTTCATTTTTCTTGGTCTGCTGACTTTTGAACTCATGTACACATGTACACGCTTGTTGCACACATACATTCTTATAGCTAGTTTCAATATCTTCCATTTCAATAGTGTATACATGCAATTGCTTTTATTAATACCTGCATACAACTGCTGTTTGTTTTAAATTCATTGTTTTGTATATTTTATTTTTACCTGGACTCACATGAGTCCACCAATATTGTTTGTGGGACAAATGTTCTAGGAGCCCAGAAATATTTACTGTAAAACAATAACACACCTCATAGCCAAAATGTTGATTCTCACAACAAAGTGGTGACTTATTTGTATCCAAACATCATAGTAACCCACAAGTTTTCTGTGTCCCCACCCGACATCTATGATATGGGACCCCCCCCCACTCCACTACATATTTTATTCATCTAAAATATAAATTTTATTATGTGCAATAATGGATTGTATGTAATATCGGTGAACAATTCAATTAGAAAAATTGAAAATAAATACAATGTATCAAAATACAAATTAGAGACATGTCATCAATCGATCATTCCATCTTGAATAAATCAACAATGTTTTGCTGCTATTTTTAAGATCAACTTGAGATTCTTCTTGTTAAAACATTGAATAATTTTAACACATTCAACATTATGGATAAAAAATAATGAATTTTATATAATTTTTTTTTTTTTAAGACTTATCATGAGCAAAAGAAATTCATGAATTTGGACAAAAAGAAAAAAAAAAGATCCCCCCCCCAAAAGAAAAAAGATCCCAAAATGACATAAAAAAAATCTGCTAAAATTTTTCATCCTTTAATAATCAGTTGTGCTTAGTTTAATTTGTAAAATAGATAAATGTAAGTAGAAAAAAAAAACAAAAGTTGATAAGATAATGAGGGTCACAAAGCACTGCTTGGGGCCCCCAATCAGGCTTGCCCTCCATGTTGGGGGGGGCTTCTCAGGGATAGTACACACCAACCATGTTTCTGAATATTTCTAAACTACTGTATATACTTGAGTATAGTGTGAGTTTTACTATCAGTTTTCTATGCAAAAAATAGGGGGTCATACTATACATAAGTAATTTTTTGAAGAGTTTAAAAATCATGGATTTTCGGTGACCTATATACTGGTAAATTTTTACTGGAGGGGTTAAAATGCATGCAAAAAATTTCAGAGGTCACACTATAGAAAAGTTGGTATATATTGTATAACTTAAAATTGAAAAGGAAAAAATAACAGCATCATTTAAACCAGATTCTATAGACAGTTGAACATAAACTTTCTATGTGTTTTTTTAAAATGATAAACATCTTAACACATTTTGTATCTGATATTATAGAATTTTAATTGGATATTCTAATTGGATTTTTTTCTCTTTCTTTTTTTGTTGTGGCAGCTCCCTTGCAAAAGCAAGATGAACAAGCCAGGTAAGTAATTTTTTATTTATTTGGGATCAAACAGTAAATCCCATATCACTGAAACAATTCCTCCTTTCTCTGTGCACCTCTTGTTATTAAAATTTTATCAGTTCAAAGAAATCATGTCTGTCTAGTTTTTTAAATTTCTTTTTCTCCAAGTTCCAAACTATCCAATAGGATCCTTCAAAATCCATAGCACATCAGTCACCAGTAACAATTTATCCACTCTCTTATGTTCTCATAATTTATCTTATCCTCTATTCTTTCTCTTTTATATCCCAACAGGCAAATTTTTAAATTTTAAATCTTGTTAGCAACATGCAATCAGCGTATTTTTATTTTTTTTTTTTTTTTTGTCATATACAAATGCAGAATTGTCTTCCAAAATGCTTCACCCCCAAAATCAAACTTTTCTGCTTTGTACTAACTACTTTGCAACTCAGTGATCCTTCTCTCTCCTATATTTGACTCACCAAATCAACAAAGGCAGGTTGCAAAAAAAGCATGCCATTTTTTAGTTACTTATTTAGTTTTATGTTGGCAAAAATCTTTTTCTACAGTTTTATTTTGTTTTCTGTTTCATTTTTTTGTGGTGGGAGTCAAATTTGTTTCTGCTTTCAAATATTTTAAAACAATTGTTTTGTTTTGTGCAGATTTTTTCTTTCATTTGCTTGTTCGTATTTTTTCTCTTTGGATAATTTTTCAGAAAACAACACAAAATTCAATTTTATATAAAATAACTCAAAATTCTTTTAAGATTAAAATTATGAGAATTCCATAAATTTTAATGTCACTCTCTTCAACTTCAAAACTGTAAACTTGAAAAATTATTTTCAAAAATTCAAATTCTTTGATATTCGCTCTTCTTATTTGAACATCAATGACACTTCTGAGAATATGCCCTTTTTTTTTAGTTTGTTCTTTTCTTGTTCAAAATCTGATTCTTGTTTACTAACTTTGCTATTATTGCTATCATTTTGTCAGAACTAAATGAAAATCTTATTAAAATGAAATAGATATGACCCATATAAATATCAGTTTTTCAAAAAGCAATTTATTTTTATTCTATAATTTATAACAGAAAATATGTTTAGATATAATGTGCGCAAAGTACTTTTTTTGAAATAGAATACAAATAGTGAAAAAACTGACTAGCTGTACTTCATTTTAGCAAAAAAAATATGATAGTTAATGACAAACTTTGTAGAGTTTGAAATTATTAAAAATCACTATATTTTGTAGTGTATATATATATATATATATATATCTGACTCCCAAATCATCCTATATCCTCCACAGAAAATGTCAGACTTGACACCGAATTTGAGATTGGCAAATCCCTCTAGTTTAGGAATTAATATATATAGTAAATTACTAATACCTTAATGGTGAACCTTTGTATACCATGAAATAAATACATGGATAAATGAAGACAAGCTTTCTTTTTTGGTTAGATATGTTGGAGTTTCTTCTGGTTCCCCAAAACTAAAAGCAAAGTTCTTCTATTTAGCATGAAATAATTAAACCTCATTATCATAGAAATCTTAAAGAAAAGACAACTGTTGGTCACTACATTATGCAGACAAATAGTAGACATGTCACCTAAAGATTTGTAAAGCATACAATGATTAAATTGTATTTATACAAGAAAAGAAAATCTTAAGACCATGAAGCTTTTTTTTGATGACTAAACATGTTTTCTTGCAAATCATTGCAAATGCCAAATAAAAGTTTACAATTCACACATGTCTGATCTAGTTCTTCAGTCAAAAACTTAAACTGATAATTTTTCTCAAGGAGTTTTCTCATTGGACCCTATCCAGTTTGACCATAGGGATATAACTGTTTTTTCCTGGACAGATAATGGGATAGTAGTTTGTCCAAGTTTTCACCCAGCTATCCAGTGCCTCTGCTGTTTACTTTGAGCTCCTTGATAAAATCCAAAGAATCATCAGCAATATTATTGGTCCTGATCTGGTAGCTTGGTTTCAGTTACTTTCCCACCACTGTAAGGTTACCTGTCTATGTCTTTTCTATAAATACTTTCATGGTAATAGTTCAGATGAGCTCTTTGCTATGGTACCTATGCTTTTTGAATTTAAGCACAGTACTAGACTCTCATCAATTTACAGTTGAGCTGGCTAGATGTAACTGTAAATTCTACACTAACAGTTTCTTTTCTCACACATCTAACTCGTGGAATTCTTTCTGGCTCCATGCTTTCCAGCCAAATTTAATCTCCAAAACTTTAAATGCAATGTCAATTGCTATCTACTGTCTGCCTGATTAATCTTTTCTCTTCCTGCCCCTTAGTAACGTTTCTCTTCCTAAGTCTTCCACACCCTGTAAACACTTGTGTCCTAGTGACTTTACTGCCTTGCTTAAGATAAAATCAATTTAAAAAAAATTATCAGTGTGATATGTCAGTGATAAGATATTTTATCAAAATATGTAGTAATGGGACAGTACACAGGGAAAATCTGATCCATGCCCTTCCCCTAAAAAAGTGTTCACTATTTCAGGACTCCAAGCTACATCCACCAGGTGTGGCATATACATTTAGCCATTATTTATTTTATCATAAAATAAAATGTTTTAGGCTTTAGTTAATGAAAGTTTACAGGTTGATTCTTATATTTGACAATAATTTACATATATTTACAATTCAAAACGGCCAGCCTTTTTTTTTTTTCTCTTTTTAAGTGAAGTGCATGACTTCTTCACTATTTCTTGGCCCAAATTGAACTACATCATCATAAGAGCTTTTGAGTATATATTTGAGTATATGACAGGTAAAACATCACTCTCCAATACAGGCCATATTGCAAAGTCCATAGGATTAATGGTAGGACTTGATGGAGGCCAAATTAACATGTCAAAAATTCTACAGAAATGTCTCTTGCATTTAATAGCCATGTGTGCAAGAGCTCTATCTTGAGTGAAGACATAGCAACTTCCAAATGTGGTTGACAACATTTTCTGGTAAACTCTGCTATTCATTTTAACACCTTCTTCACTGAACACCAAGGGTGATTTTGAATGATCAGATGCAACAGCAGCCGAAACCATGGCACTAATTGCTTTCTGTTGCTTGAAATATGTTCTGACACTTTCAAGAATGTTTCCTGTTGAAAAGGCATAAACTCTATGATTTTGGTAGCAGACCCCACAGTGAAAAACTTTTTATCTGACCAAACAGACTTTTTTCTGTGGCATGCTGCATCTTCCCCCAACAGTTTTTCGCCCACCAAGCCTTTTCTGCTTGGAGGAACTTGAAAGCAGGTGTTGTCATCATCTTTGAATCTTGTCTAATTTTAGCCTTAAATCCACTTTCACAATTCCTCTTTAGTGACCCATCCAAAATATCCGATTTTTTTGACATCTTTCTCATGCTTCACCATGAATTTCTCTTCACCCCCATCTTGACGTCTTCAATGACTCTCCTGGTATAAACAGAATAATTTCTTCTTGGAATTGAATTTGATGATGTTTTATGCTCATCTTCAAATTTTTCGCCCATATTTAGAACAGTTTTTTTCTGCAAACATCCAACAGTTTTATTACCTCACAATTCTTTATACCTGCTATTTCCAATTCAAGAATTTGATCATGTTTTATTTGATCTGGCTTATTAAATTAAACTGTAAATAATAAAACAAAAGAATGTTAAGAACTCTTAAAGAAAATTTGAAACTATATTTACAAATGTGTATGTTTTAATTTGTGTTTAAAAAATGTGTAAATATTTATGCCATGCTAGATAAAATAATTGAACTGGTGAAATTTAAGGGAGATAAATTCTATGTTGTAGATTTTCATCAGGAATTACAAAGCCTAACTTCATCTGACACAAAGCCAAAATTTGGGTCATAGGTACACCATATGTACTACAGATACAGCAGTAGTGGGTGTGTCTAGGGCAAGGTAACCGAATGAAGCCCATCCCTTTTCAGGCTAATTTTGAATTCAGAGGACTGGTTGCCACCCAAGGCTATAGGACCAAGTCTATCCTGTTAGTTAACTTGTAAATGGAGAAGATGAGATGGTTCTATGGATTTACTAAGAGCATTTGTAAAAAACTGTACACAACAGACTAGCCTGGAATTCAAACCTGGCTTGCCAATTTCAGTTTATGTGCATATATATGTTAAGCAAGTGCTTTGTAGGGGGTCTTCAGGTTGCATAACATGACTCTATGAGAAGGTATCCTTAACCTCATCCAGCAGTGGAACACAAATGTGACTCACCCAATGAAGATTACATTGGTACAACAGTAATCTGTGAACAAGCTTACTATGTTAACTATAGTGTCATTGTAAGGTATTTTATAAGTATTTCCTAAATTTCTTCTGGCACACTCAGTTAAGACGAAACTCACTACAGTAGTAATGACCTAATGTCAGATTAGCTTATTAAATTAAGACAAAACTCACTACAGTAGTAATGGCCTAATGTCAGATTAGCTTATTAAACATTTCTTCAGAGTTAGGTTCACTCGTTTTGAAATTTCATTTGATTAATACTTTAGCAAATTACCTTTCTGTTCTTTGAAGCATTTTTCAGGTTGAATGCTTTTAATATTACAAAAACTTAATGGTAATGTTTAACCTTTGTGTCTGCAAAAAAAAAACACAGTGTAAAAAAGACTGTTACTCCCTTGACACTGCTATTACTGCATACATTTTGACTCCCTCGACAATGTTTATTTACAAAATTATAAAAATATGGGAACAAGGTACAATTCAATATTATTTACCAGTTTGAAAAGAAATGTTTCTATTCAAAAATTTATTAAAAAAAATTATGAAATTATTAAAATATGTAAACTAACCACAATGTAATATTTATTATTTACCATTTTTTAATTAACTACAAAAACAAGATTTTTTTTTTTTTTTTTCACTAATATTATTTCATATTTTTGTTGTCAGTTCTTAAGAATAAAGAAAATGTTTAAATCCACTTTCATATGTTTGGGTTTTATTAACATTCTAATCATCACTTTTTAA